GATACTTTACATGAAGCCGTCCCTCCCTCTCTCAAGGGAGAATTTCTGGAAATTCAGAATGTTATGCAGATAAGCACTAATGCTAGAATACGTTCTTCAGACTCTGGGTTTCAGAGACATTATGAACTGCCAGCACTTTGAGAGAAGAGTTATTCAAGCTTGAAGAAAGGAATAGAGCTGCCTCCCTTGGACCCAGGGATGGAGACCTAATTATCTGCTGGAGTTCCCTTCTATGCATGCCTTTATTGAGGTCATTGCTTCAGACATGGTCTCCCGGAGAGCTTCAAGGACCAATTATTTCTGCCTGAATAACTTTTCCTTGGCTAAGGAGTGGGTGGTAGGTGGTCAGAAAGCCACATAAATCTTAAAGAGAAAATATCTCCGGTATCAAAGGTGTCTTCCCAGTGAAGATTGCTAATTTGAGACACTAAGATCAGCTTTCTGTAATAGCATTGAGCTTAGTCATCTACTTCTTCTCCAATGTATAGTATGATTAGTATAAAATAACTTAAGGTGCTGCCAGGAACCCCTCCTAAATGTATATTAGCACCCGCCTTCCCTTTTTCCCATTCCCAATGAAGCCTGACTCCATGCTGGAAAAACCCAAGGAGGTAACAGAACAATTTGCACATTCAGAAATGGCTTTCCCAATGCCCAGCATTCACTGCCACAGCTTTGCTGCATCCTCCAGTGTGTGATTGGGAATAAAAGAGCCTAAAGACAGAGCCTGGGGCGGAAAGGTTTCTCTCTTCAAGCAAGGAAAGCCTGCCTGCCCAAGCCTGTCCCACTGTGATGTTGCCTTGTCATAAATTAACCACACACACAATTAAAGAGCCTGTCTGAGCTCCAGGAGCTGTGGATGTATTTCATCCCAAGAGAGAGAGAAAGGCACTGTGGTATACAGCTATAAAGCATCTGAATGCGGAATCTGGGCTCTTAGCAGAGGGCTGGTGGCTATTTGTCAGCACAAGGCAAGGAATAAGGGATTGAAGGGAGGCAGGAGTGTGGGGAGCAGTCAGGTATGAAGTTATGCTGGTGGGCAAGTGAGAAAAAGTGTATCTGCAGAGGAGGATGGCTTGGTGCAGGGAATTGGGACTGCGAGGCACTGTGGATGTGTGTTTGAGAACCAGTTTGGTACAGTGGTTAAGGTGCTGGAATAGAATATGGGAGATCACTTGTTTTAGTCCTCCTTTAGACATGGAAATTAGCTGAGGGACTTTGCCCAACTCACCTAAGAAAGTTGTGAGGAAAATGGGGCAAGAGGATCTTGAATACTACAAAAAAAAAGGTGGATATGCATCTAATAATAAATAAATAATATGTGATGTGTGGGCTGTCCTCTGAAGATCAGTCATCACGTAAGGTGTCCCTATCATGTGAATCACATTCCTATTGAATATTTCTAGTGATAACTAGTGAGAGGACATGATTTTTTTTTACATTGTGTGGGAGACATAGAACAGCAATCAGTTACAATTAATATCAGGCAGAGAAGCTGGAAACATCTTCCATGTGTGAATCATAACTTGAAATTCCCTGATGACAGTTGATGGGTATGCATCAACCCAAGCTGGTATTTTCGTGGGATTTGGAGAATTGGGAATCTCTTCCAAATTATTCATGTTGTCATGGATTTTGATTTCTGTGTCTATAAGAGTGAATAGGGAATTCAACTGGGTTGTCTTTTTGTTGTACCTGATATCTTGCTTGTGGCATCCCCATCAGTCTTTGGTTCTCCCCAGAATGCTGAGCAAAATAAATACTTGGCCCAATTCAAAACAGCTCCCATCTACTTATACTGACCATTCCTTTCTATCTGCCAAATTGGGTCTCCTATAATAGATGAAGTAATTTTCTACAGACTTGATCTTTATTTGTTGTCAAATGTTCCAGATGAACCAAGCTGCATGTTGTCAGTACTTGGAATATAGAATCCACTACTACTAGAACTCTTGTCCATATGTATATGAATATTCCTTACTCCATACAGAGCATTTCTCTCTCAGAAATTATATCCATTAACGAGTACAATGTAAGATTTAGGGCTAGCCAAAGGATTTATAGTCCAATAATTTTATTCAAAAAATTATTTAAGGAATATTTGAGCAGAGCATACATTTAGGCATATTAAAATAGTAGAAGAAAGTTAATTTGTAACAAAAATTTGAAAAATAGTTTAGGTGAAAGAAAATTTATTAGGAATTGTTTGAATTCTTCTGAATTAGACTTTATTTTCCACTGAAAGTGCTCTGGTTAGTTCACTTCCTCTTGAAAGAAAATCCAGGACATTGCAATTTAGTATTTTCTATGTTAGCATGCCATGATTTTTTTTCACATATAATTTATGATGGGTGAGGGGCAATAAACTTCCATGAGTTACAGCAACAGCCTGTCCTATGGGAATAAGTAATATGCTATTCAGATTATTTTTTTTAGGGAAGGGGGTGTCCTGTGCCCTTTTGTAATTGCTCATTTTGCAAAAACATTACAGGTTAAGTCTTCAAGTTACAACAGTTCATTTAGTGTCCATTCAAAGTTACAACAGCACTGGAAAAAAATGACTTATGACCATTTTTCACACAATCATTGCAGCATATCCATGGTCACATGATCACCTTTTGCAATTTTCTGACAAGCAAAGTCAATGGTGAAGCCAGATTCATTTAACAATTGTGTTACTAATTTAACAGCTGCAGTGATTCACTTAACAAGTATGGCAAGAAAAGTCATAAAATGGGGCAGAATTCACTTAACAACTGTCTCACATAGAAGCAGAAAATTTTGTCTCAATTGTGGTCGTACGTTGAAGACTACCTGTATTTTTCTTTCTGTGAGATGTATTTCAGAAAAAAAAACCAATGATGTATAAGCTAGTTAGTAATGATAAATAGCCTTGTTTAATGTCTCAGCATTAGTTTCTGTTCCCATAGGGTAGGGAGTGGTTTAAATGATTTCTTTGCTCAAAACCAGTAATTAAAGCCTCCCTCCGTCTACCACAGGAACACAAGCAGACATTGGAACAATTAAGAGAGACTGGTCAAGGGTCAGTAAATTGGCTATATATAAATGGGGTAGTCATAAGTAAGAAGAAACAATTTAATGGTAAGGATCTGTAAACTGGGCAAAAAAAATTGTGAATGTTGAGAAAGACTTTTATGAATGGGATTTAATTCTGAATAAACATTAAAGAAAAATCTAAACCATGGAAGAGTATGTTGTGGATAACATAGTGCTACATTCAGTGCTGTGTGGAACTTTGATTTTAATTCCACTTCCAGAAAATTGTGGAAAAACATTGTCTCAGCAGCACTAAGTGTATCGAGTGTAGAAGCAACCACAGACATCTAATAATAATAATAATAATAATAATAGTAGTAGTAGTAAAGTTGGAAGGGACCTTGGAGGTCATCTAGTCCAACCCCCTGCTCGGGCAGGAAACCCTACACCATTTCGGACAAGTGGCTGTCCAGTCTCTTCTTAAAAACTTCCAGTGTTGGAGCATTTACTGCTTCTGGAGGCAAGCTGTTCCACTGATTAATTGTTCTCACTGTCAGGAAGTTTCTCCTTAGTTCTAGGTTGCTTCTCTCCTTGATTAGTTTCCACCCGTTGCTTCTTGTCCTGCCTTCAGGTGCTTTGGAGAATAGCTTAATTCCCTCTTCTTTATGGCAGCCCCTGAGATATTGGAACACTGCTATCATGTCCCCCCTTGTCCTTCTCTTCGTTAAACTAGACATACCCAATTCTAGAAACCGTTCCTTGTTTTTCTTTTCTACCCTTCGTTGAAATTAACACATTTTTGAGGCATTATCTAGGAAACTGAGTAGCTATCGTTTGGCAAATGCCATGTTCTTCTCCAGTTCAGAATCCTCTTCCCTTTTTTAAAACGGGAAAGTAGGCCACTTTTAGATGTTGATAATGCCACCACATATCACATATGATTTTGAATAAATAATTTTAGGTATCCTTATAGGAGAATGGGACATGTAGGTTCAATTTTGGCAGGAAGGCAGGAAGGGCAAAAATAGCAGGAATAGTAAAATCCCTCATCTTAAATCAATACTGAGGTGACTGCCCGTGTATCTTTTGAAAGAAAGGACATTTCCACCTCCATTTGAAAGTATAATCTTTCAATTTAGTAGGCCCAACATTTAGAAATATGGGTGACCTTACATTGAGGTAATTGTTTATGTTGGTATACAGAAAGACATACTGTGTCTTACAAAGATCTTGCTGCTTTCTTGGCCCCTTTCCTTCCCGGGGATGCATCCTCCTGTCCTAAAGGCAATTTTTCCAATCTCCATTTTTTTCACCCAACATCCATGTACTTTCTTCCATCTCTAAAGGACAAATTGAGACTATGGTTAAGTCCATGGGTGTCCAGGTGATGTACCTGCAGTTCAGATGTACAAGCATAAAAGTTGATAGCCGGTTGCAATTTGTCATGCTGAGAATTTTTTTAAATAGCTAATTGCTTTTCAAAATATACATGAAAAAGAATGCCATAAAAGAAACGTACTTTTGATCCTCCATGATGTTGCTGGACAAGTTATCTAGAGCAGGTTCTTATTTGTTCTACACACAATTTTATCTTTTCCTTGTAATTCCAACTTGCCTTCAGTGAGATGCTTTTTATGTCTCTAATTCTCCCAGAAGAGAGTTAGAGATTAATCAAATCCATTGAAAACTAGAATAACAATGGGCACATCTACCCTGCAGATTTTATCATCCCGTGCATGGTGCTTCCACTCTGCTCCTCTAAAATGATGTCCAGCAATTCCATGGCAGATAAAAGGTGGGTCTTGAGAGCATTCTTTCTTGCCGTGTTGGATGCAATTACTGCTTTAAACCAATACTTAACTGCCTTATGTTATGGGAAAATTAACTGGAATTCACCTGAGCTGTTGGATGGAGAGTGAGTTGCTGATGAAGGTTGAAGCTCACAGTCTGGCTTGAGATTGTCAGCCATGAGTAAGGAGTATTCTCTTATCCTATCTCTGCAGGGCAATCAGGACGCCACGGCTCCGCCTGACGCAATGGCTCAGCCCTATCCCCCAGCAACATATCCACCACCCCCACAGAATGGTATCCCTCCAGAGTACGCTCCTCCACCACCACACCCGCATCCAGCACAGGACTATTCGGGGCAGAGCACAGTACCTGAGCATGCCTTGACGCTCTACACCCCAGCACAGAGCCACTCCGAACAGCCGGGCACTGATGCCAGCACGCAGTCCATAGCAGGCACACAAACGGTACCGGTAAGAGACTTTGCCTACAGGGCCTGACCTTGCTGTAAAGCTTGCCTGCACAGGGGCAGCATAGGGCAGTTTAGGGAAGTAGACATCTAATGAAGAAAAGGATGTCTCCTCCCAGAAAAATGCAAACTGGAAGGATTGAACTTGGGGGAGGGGGGGGAGAAATGTGTAAACTTGGATGAGAAGGATACAAGGAAATTTCTGTTGGAAAAATGGACCTATTGGCTCATGATTGAGAGGCTGCAGGGAAGACCGAGCCTGCAGATCCAATGCCCTCTCTGCCTCCATTCCTAGTTTGTCTGCTTGGCCTTGTTCCACTTCCATCTGAGACCCAGAGACAGCAAAGGATCGAAAGAGAGCAAGGTGAAAATAACAGAGTTCTTATGCAGCAGGAGGCCAGTGCAGAGAAACCATTCCAGCACCCTGCTACCCCCATGGGCATTTGTGGCTCAGCACTTAAGTTTCCTGGCTCCCTTTGTGTCCCTAATCACTTGTAATCTACCTGCTTGGCCACTTGCCAATCTGATCATGCCAATGATGTGGTTGTAATGCAGCTCAGCGAGGAAGCGCTGAGTGAGCACTTCCCAGCTGCTCCTCAATCCCTGAGTGCCAGGCTGGCTGCTCGCCACCACGCAGCTTTGAGAGTGAGCTCGGCCTCCCCACCTGGTTCTGTGTGTGCAGGAATGCATGCAAACCCAGGATGGAGCCAGCACATCTCCAGCCTCCTTTCCCTGGAGCTGTGTGTTTGGGCCCATGCTAGTTCTTATTCCACTTTCTCGGGCGGCACTGCTGTCCTAGGTAAAAGTAGGGCCCCTGTTTCATAATTGGAGAAGCTGAAGCAGAAGGATGGTGGCCAGTCCAAGACCAAATTAAAGAGCTGAACTGGGGACTTCGGTTTCACAGCTCACATTCTTGATCCCTAAGTGAGAGCATATGCCAACACTCCCTGACTGGTTTCTCACATTGCACTAAACCGTGTTGTGATTTGTTTGTGTTTGGCTCACTGTATTCTGTTCACCTAGTTATCATGCTTCTAAGTCATGGCTTATGGCTTGAATGTCGGATAAACCCAGCTCTTCATTTTTTTTAACCAGCAAACCATAGCTAAACAAACCATGCGGTAGCACACTGTGTGAGCCTAGTCTCAAGATGACATTAAAAGTTGGCAATCAAGTAACATCACTTTCATAGGAATGCCTAGTCCCAATACCTCTCAGGATTATGGGGACCTGCAGCACAAAGCCCTCGGGGTTTGGCCTTATCTTAGGCAGGGGAAGGGAATGGAACAGGGAAATGGGGTACAAGAGAAGAAAAAATGTTGAGGAGACCTAAAATGAAAGAGCCCCCTGAAGCTATGAGTTCAAACCACCTGCAGAAGGGGGGGTGTAAGAAGCAAAATCAAAGAATGGAAGTGGGGCACTGTGCAATGGAAGGAGCCCTCTGAAAGAAGAATGCTTCAGAGCTATATCAAGAGCAGCCTGCTTTCCAGGCAGAGAGGATGTTTGGGCTGGTGGGTGGGTGGGGTTGGGGAGAAAAGAGAAAGAACAAAAAAAATGAATGGATTAAACAGAGAAATGGCTCCAGCCCCAAGCACTCCAGAATAAGACTTGCAAAAAATGACCCCAGTCTTCAGCAGAAGAACAGATTATATATTAAACCCAAGTCAATATGCCTGAAGGCTGAAAATCTAATTGCCCCAAATCTAATCCAGCACTTTTGCTGGATTCATTTCATACCTTTGAAATCTGTCTTTCACAAGCAGCAATGATGCCCCACCCCGCATATGCGCGCGGGCGCGCACACACACCTAGAAAAAATCACAGTGGTGCTTTAATTTACTTATTTTCACCAGCAGACAGATGAAGCAGCGCAGACAGACAACCAGACACTACACCTACCAGAGAATGGTTCCAACAAGCAGCAGCCTAAGCGGCTACACGTTTCCAACATCCCTTTCCGCTTCCGGGACCCTGATCTGCGGCAAATGTTTGGAGTAAGTCTATCACCTTCCTGTGCTAAATAAACATAGGAATGTACAAAGACCTATGGTCATCTTGGAAAGGAACTGGCTGTGTTCACTCTGTCTTTTACATTATAATTTAGTTGGGTTTTTTGTTTCATGTGATATGTGAACCTGACATTATGGTTAGTAAAACCATAGTTTACAGTTGAATATTGTGTGTGAACCACTAGGACTGGCTTAACAAACAATGGTTAAAACAGAGTATTTCTTATCACCATTTATAAATTTAGAAAATCAGTCCAAGATAACAATATCAGTCAAACTAACAATGCTGGGTCCCATCGTTGTCAAATCTGCTTCTTATCTTTATACAGTTTCTACATATTCTTGTTATATCTTTCCATCATCCACGTATCTGCAGTGCCTGCTTCTTGCTTTCATTCCTTTTTGGCAGGAACTCTTATCTGTTCCTTCTGACTCCCCAGTGCTCTGCAGGACTTGTGATTATCAGGGTTCAGGCAGGATTAACTTGTTTCTCAGTCTGAGCATTGCTGGAACATGTTATTTAACAGCTGAGTATTGAATAATGCAGAAAACATCTCCTGTACTTCTAGGGATGATAGTCCTAGGGGCCCGTAGAAGTAAAGTGGCATCTGCCTACATATGATGCTAGACCCCAGACGTTCTTTCTGTGTATGTGTATAAATACTGGTAGTCCTCACTTACCAAATTTACGACAGCACTGAATAGGTTTAACAACTGATCTTCAAACTTGTGGCTGTCGCAGCAACCCTGTAGTTATGTGACTGTAAATTGGGCCCCTCACAACCAGTGCGCCTTTACGATAATCACAGGGGTCCCACAATCATGTGATTTCCATTTGCGGTCTTCACAGCCAGCTTCCAACAAGTGAAGTCAGTGGGGAAGCTGGCAAGAAATGTCAAGTCACAATCAGGTAACTTAAAACTTACAGCAGAACAGACGTACGTTGGGCACAACCACATGACATTTCACTTAATAACCATGTTGCTTAGAAATGTTTGTTGCTGACTCCAGTTGCGGTCAGTACAGGTAGCCCTTGACTTACAACAATTCGTTTAGTGACCGTTCAAAGTTACAATGGCACTGAAAAATATGACTTATGGCCATTTTTCATAGTTACGACATCCCCATGGTCATGTCATCATAATTCAGATACTTGGCAACTGGTCCATATTTATGACCGTTGCTGTGTCCCAAGGTCATGTGATCCCCTTGTGCAACCTTTTCACAAGTAAAGTCAATAAGGGAAGCCAGATTCACTTAATAACCGGGGTACTAACTTATCAGCTGCAGTGATTCACTTAACAACAGGGGCAAGAAAGGTCATAAAATGGGGCAAAACTCACTTAACAAATGTCTCACTTAACAACAGAAATTTTGGGCTCAGTTATGGTCGTAAGTCGAGGACTAGCTGTAAATGAGAACTACCTGTATTTGATACTCAAGGATGTTCCAGATACGTCTACATACCATGCCCTTTGGGAATAAATCAGAGCACGAGGGTTTTCCAAGCCGGGATGAAAAGAAATGATGTGTCCACTCCCATTTTCACCTTTCCTTCTTCCCCCGTCCCCTGTCCCTCTTTTTCTCCCCCAGCAATTTGGAAAGATCCTGGATGTTGAGATCATTTTCAATGAGCGTGGTTCCAAGGTGGGTTCAACATGTTGGTGTCTGATACAACCCAAATGTCCCTGTAGATGGGTACTCCCAGGGGCCAGTCTTTCTCCTCCGTTCTGCATTCCTGCCTTCACCACTTCCTTTCTATGCCACGGGGTTCCTCCTGGTTTCTAACTACCCTTTCCTCACCATCCCTTCAAATCCTGGGACTTTAGATTTAAGAATGAGATTTTGATATTTTAACTTTCCCTCTGAAAACAACTGTGCTGGTTGAAAATAATTAACCAAAGCAATTCTAGATTCGGAGTCGTATAGAAAGAGGAAAAACTGTTGGCCACAAAGCCATCACTAAAGTAATTTAATGCAGAAAACGATCACCCTCTCATGGTGAGATTAGAAATTGCTCTAACCAGAGAGGGAGAGAGAGAGAGAGAGAGAGAGAGAGAGAGGGAGGGAGGGATGGAGGGAGAGAGAGAGAGAGAGAGGGAGAGAGAGAGAGAGAGAGAAATAAAATAACATAACATGCTACTTAAGGCAATGTGATATTAAGGTTTGGAGGAAACATGTGGATATTTCTTCCTCCCGAAATAGACATGAAAATACACTATTGGATTTTTGTTTCCAGGAGGTAATTCAGGTATTTTAAGTTTGAAAGAAACTTGGGAAATCCTTTCAGTGCTTAAACTCCTGCTGTTCCACTATTGACTGTAGGAGCTAGACTGCACAGAAGCTGATCAGGCGCCACACAATGGTTGAGCATTCTGGAGGGGGCAGAACTAGGCCTCAGCCATTTCTGCAGCCTCTTCACACTTAGGAGGGCTACTCTGTCTCTCTCTAGCCTGGATGATATAAATGTAAAGCCAATAGTCAGGCACAGGGGAAAAGATCCTACACATTTGCAATCCTTTTGGGTCGTAATGGCATAATGGAGTGGTGATGCAGATCTTGTCCTGTCCTCTTATTCCTCTCAGTCCTTATCCTCCCTTGTCCTTGCTCCTTCCCCACCCACCCCTGACTCCCCCCCCTCACCCGGTCTTTAGGGAGGCTTGGGAAACTCACATCCTGCCTCTTTTCTCTGCTGCTCCTTACTCACCCCTTCTCTCTGTCCTGTTCCTCCCACCCCCCTTTTTTCTTTCTTCATCCTTTTCTCCTTTTCCTACCTCTCTCCCTCCCCAACCTCTCTCTTTTTCTTTCCTTTTTCCTTTCTCTCCCTCACTCACAGGGTTTTGGGTTTGTAACTTTTGAAACTAGTGCAGATGCCGATCGGGCACGGGAGAAGCTGAACGGCACCATCGTAGAGGGACGCAAAATTGAGGTGCGAACAAATGCACTGCCTGCTCTGCGTCGGGCATTAGACCTCACACTTGCAACCGTATCACAACCTTTTAAAAAAATATATATATATATATCTGTCTCTGGGATTAACCAGGACAAGCAGGCGGGCGAGTGAATGTTGCATGTCCTGTGCTTTTGGTAGGGGAGGATGCAGAAGGGAAGGAAGGCAGAATGTCTCCACCAAGAATCTGCTATAAGCAATCATTTCAGACAATATTAAGAGAAGGCAGAGAAGTATAATATCCCCAAGCCTCCAAACTTCCAGAAAATCTTCCTAAATCATCCTGTGCAGTTGCCTCCTGGCAGAGACTCTTGCTCTTTGCCTTCCGAAGAGGAAGTACAGAGCAATTTCAGAATAGACCCTGTAAAGGATGCAAAAGAATCTCCTGTGAAAGTAGTTCTTGGTAGTTGTTGAGCCCTTTGTTCACACTGGAGTGCTGAAGATGATCCCTGGTTCATCAGAGTTGTGAGGTAGAGGGATGGTGCTGCATGGTTGCCTCTGACATCCTCTTCTGCTGGAACTCCTACCCTTTTGTTCTGCTGATCTGATTTCTTAGGCCTCCTCTTGCCTGCCTTGCTTAACCTGTCCAGTTAATGGTACTTCCAGTATGCATGAAAACTGCTTGTGCAGGGCCCTGCATGCTAGCTGTGAACGTGGCCCTGGGAAGAGAGAGTTTCAGCAGTAGTCCCTTACAACAAGCCCATGTGGTGCTAATGTTGCACTCTTGTTTGTGGCCAGCACACTAGGAAAGAGCTGTAAGATTAGGTAGGACTCAGAAGGCTCACAGCCCAAGATGTCAAGAATTAGCAAATGTAGTGTGGCAAGCAAATTGCCTTTGCTTAGGATGATTGGTCCATAAATCAGGGAGGATCTGACTCAAACCTTCAGCAGCCTTTTGAATGCTGGTGTTTTCCTTGAGGAAAAGTCTATCAGTAACCTGGTGCTTGTTTCTCAACAGGTCAACAATGCCACTGCACGGGTCATGACAAACAAAAAGGCAGCTAATCCCTACACAAACGGTAATGGAACAAGGAAGGATGCTGAACCAGGCATTCCTGGAAAGGGGGCAGGCTTCTTTTCCTCCAGGCCACCCTACAGGTTGGGGGTGGGGAGGTGTTCTGACCTCGGGGAGAGGGGGGGTCTCAAAAAAATGCAAAGCATGAATTTGGGTTGTATCTCTGGAAACAGAGATGGCAAGAGGAGCACCCAGCCTATTAAAGCAACCACTTCAGATTTCCCTCTTCAAAGGCAATGCCTAATGAACCTAGCACCCCCTCCAGCCCACTTCTTGGAATGCCAGTTTAGGAGGACTGAGAGAGCAATGCTTTCTGACTGCCTCCTTCTTTGTTACCAGGCTGGAAGCTGAACCCTGTAGTGGGCGCCGTCTATGGCCCTGAATTCTATGCAGGTAATGTCTGAATTGGGCCAGATCCATGGAGAAGCGTTATCTTTTAGGGATCTGGCAGGACTACTGAATTTCATAGCAGAATCTACCTCTTGCTTATTCCTAGAATGCCACAGGCAATTGCTTGCAAAGAAGAAAGCAAGAAGTCAGTAAGCCAGGGGGGAGGGGGGGAGAGAGGAGGGAATGGGTGCACTAAGTCTGGGGAATACCAGGCTTGAATTCCTGCTTAGTCATGTGGCTTTCTGCCTAATTTTAAGCAAATCACTATCTTGAAAATTCACTCTAGGATTGGTAGACTATTAACTATGTACCTAATCCACAGGTACATTATTAAATAATTTATTGTCAAATGGCAAGGATTTCTGACTCCCCATTGTAAATTAGGATTCTAGACTGGCCAAATCATAACAGTTCAGATCCAGATTTAGGGATAGTATAAATACATCATAAAACATACCACTAAATGTATTCAATGCATCTCATAATATTCATGGTAGAGCTACCACAACATATTCAACAAAGCTAAATAGGCCTATGGAATTTATAACTCAGTATGCTGTGGTACCCAGTTACACCCTCTCTTAGCATATTGTATGAGCCCAGCAATCACATAAAACCATAATCTCATTTGTTTGCTTGGGCCTTAGCATATAAGTAGAGGAATTCTATGTTGTTGGCCTAGGTTTAGGGTTTAATGTGGTGTATGAATCCAGATGGAACTTGGAGGGATCTGGAACATCATTTAGACCCCACCCCTGCCACCCTGAGCTCCATTTAGCAAGCAGCTCTGTTTGTGGATCTTATAATTCTTGCAAACAGCTTATTCCTCCATCTGTACTTTACATAACTAGCTTCAAACACTGGTTTGGATAAAGTAGGTATAAAGTGGAGAAAGAGAAAACTATGTGTGTATCTGGATTTTATTGTGAAAAAAGAGAACAAATGTGAGTAGAACTGAGACATATCCTGTAGTTGTACTGCATAGATTTATGACAGAGGGCAAAAGTTTTGAAGACAACATTTGGAATAGGAACAGAAATACAGAATAACGGTGTTGGAAGGGACCTTGGAGGTCTTCTAGTCCAACCCTCTGCTCAAGCAAGAGAACCTATACCATTCCAGACAAATGGCTTCCAATCGCTTAAAGACCTCCAGGGATGGAGCACTCACAACTTCTGAAAGCAAGCCGTTCCATTGATTAATTGTTCTCATTGCCAAGAAATTTATCTTTAGTTCTAGGTTGGTTCTCTCCTTGATAGATTTCCATCTGTAACTTCTTGTCCTGCCTTCAGATGCTTTGGAAAATAGGTTAAACCCACCCACCCCCTTCTCTGTAACAGCTCCTCAAATATTAAATAGGAAGGAATATTGAATTGATGGGTTGGATTCATAAGTCAGCTGCGAGGAACGTGCCTGAGGAAGGAGATGGGAAAAGCTTATCCCTTATTCTTGGGAGAGGAAGGGGGGAATGGAGAACAGAGTTTAAAATTTGGGGCTATTCCATGCTGGTCCTCATGGTTATTTCTTCCCCTCCTTCAGTGACTGGTTTTCCATATCCAGCTACAGGAACCGCAGTAGCGTACCGGGGGACGCACTTAAGGGGCCGAGGGCGCACAGTCTACAACACTTTCCGAGCGGCTCCCCCACCTCCCCCCATCCCCACTTATGGAGCGTGAGTATTGAGCAGAGAGGCTCCCTTACAAAAACGGGTGGTTTGGCACTTCCAAAAAAGACAAAGTTAGATGGGCCATCTTCTCAAGACCCAGGAGAGTCTTTCCCATATCTCTCATCTCTGGCCACTGTGATCTATGGTTCATTAAAAGTCATATTAATTTTAAGACATGCCTTCCTGAAGCTTCTCTGTTGGGTTCCTGTATGATTAAGACATAAGTCTCTGTTGTCCTAGTTTTCTGGACACATGGTTGGAAAATTCAGAGTTATCCTTGGATTTTTCATTGACCTCAATTTTCCTATAGAGATTCCTACGTACCTGTTGTCTGGAAATTATGGGCATTGGAGTATAATATTTCTGGAGGGCTCCATTTTGGTAAGGTTAGGAAGACAGTTTGCCCAGGTGGCACTATACATTTCACAGTCAACCCACAGCTGGAGAAGTCATGCTCCCAGTCATTCCACTTTTTCAACAGGAATCTTTTATTTCCTTGACCAGCATAAATTATGCAAGCAAATTAAGTACATGCTGGTGTACTTTGCACAACATATTTATGTTCATGCTTCCTTCCGAAACTCATCTTCTTATATCTTATGTTGTATAGGATTCTTTTAGTAATTAGACAAACATGAGGAATACAGGAAGGAAAGCATCACTAGATGATATGTGGAAGAGAGTAGATAACCATGTTGACCATCCCATAAATTAGCCTCTCACTGTGTGGATCAGAAACCTGCTCCTTTTTTAAAATGACGAAAATGAAGCAAAATCTTTCACGGAATGTATGTGACTATCATGTAGGGCTGCATGGCCAGGAGTGGCTGGCTCCAGGTTCCCCCCACGAACACCTTCATGATCTTCCCTGTTGATTGTCAGGCAGACAGCTCTATCCACTTGCTTGATGCCTGCATTTGCTCCCCTCCTGCTGTCAGGGTAGAGAAAAGCAACTGATAGGTCCAAACACCAGAGCCACAAAGGCCCATCTGATGCTTGCTCTGGTGCTCCTGTCTGGAACACAGCCAGTCTTGCAGAGTGAGCTTCAAAGAGCCCTACCCAAAGTAACTCTTAGTCACAGCCACATTCTTCTTGCTTTTGCAGAGTGGTTTACCAGGACGGATTCTACGGTGCTGAAATTTATGTAAGTCCATCCTTTCAAAGTTTCCTTAGGAGATCCTTTTTTTTTTTTTTTTTTTTCATTTCTAGTCAAAGCATCCTCTGGTTCCTGCAGAGACTTGGCATCCTTTGCTGGTAACCAGGCACAGGCCCTTCCAGGAAGGCTGTTCTGTCAAAGAGAAATTCCCCCCTGCTTGCTCTTTTCATTAAGTGATGCAAACAGGGGCCAAGGCTGCCAAAACACAGTGGGAAAACAACCTGGGGCCCAGAGCTCAGGAAGCAGCAGCAGTTGGGCAGCCTCTAAGCCTCTCCCATTAGCTCTACAGATTTTCTCATCACTCTTCCAAGACTCATCCCAGCACTTTCCACGGCTAAGGGAGGTTAAGGGTGGAAAGGAAAAGCTTGAAATCACACTTCCTGCATGTGCGGCAACTGGAGATGGGAAGCAGGCTACCTGTGAGGGTGGGGTAAAGGGTGCATCTGCTCCTACAGAGGGCAGGATTTATTTTCTGGCCTGGTGTCAGCCTGTCAGGCCACAGCAGCGTTTCCTCTCCATATTTAAAGTGCTCTGGGCAATACTTCAGGCACACACTGACAGATTTATCAGAGGCGACATCTCGTTAACACCGCCACCCGCTAGGGAGGTGACATTCTCTCCTCAGCATGTTTAATTTCTGCAGGTTAATGGTAGCAAGGACCCCAGGGAATGCTAATGAGATTGGAGAGGGGCTGGGCCTGTGGGTACACATCTCCCTCCTGGCCAGCACGTGAGATCCCCCAAAAGATGTGCCCTTCTCCTGTGATACTGCAGTCACACCTTCACCCCTAATGCTTGTCTCTCTCATCTACTCCAGGGGGGCTATGCAGCCTACAGATACGCCCAGCCTGCGGCAGCAGCAGCAACAGCTTACAGCGACAGGTAAGTCATCTTGCGCCTTGGTGTCTGGTCCCCTTATCAGCCCATCACTTGGATGCAGGGATTCACAATAGTGTCCCTGTACCAGGGAATTGTTACTGATGCACCAGGGAGAAAAGGGACACCACCTCCTTCAGTCAGAAACGTTTTCCAGCCCCCATTGACTGGTTTGCCCAGGGATAGAGGGAATACTGGAAGTCCTGGTAGACCCTAAAATAATCAGCAGAGTCCACAACACTCAAGGGCTGGGAGCTGGTTTGTCCACAGTGCAAAGAGTCTGTGATCTGAGCTCTGCCTCATTTTGTTCCCTGTTCTTGTTTCCCTCTTCTGTTTTTCACAAGCAACCATTGCCTCTCTTCCCCCTTTTTATACCTTTCACTGAAGTGTGTGCATTTTCTGGCTTGCCAGTATACAGAATTTCATGCTGATAAGATGAATGGCTGTATTGAAGTGGCCTGAGTTTGGAGAGGTTATGTTGTTAAACGGAGTCTCTCTCAGAGGCAACAAAACAACTCAATTAATCCTTTGTGCTTATCTTCCCTTTCTAAAAACAATTATTACAAGGGGGATTTGGGGGTAGGAAGCATTGAAGGGGCGTTTTGCTTTGATTGTTCATTCAACCAAGTGCTTTTTCAATGTGGCTCCACAAAGTAGGGGCTGGAGCAGAGTGGCCACGCTTTCCGGGAGAAGTCACTTCGCTGGCCTCCAATAAAATTCTGATCATGCACCAAAGACATTTCATTCGAAGCAAAGTTGCTTTTCCACACTGCAGGACCTTTTCATTGCATTTATCGAAGCCAAAACAATTCTGCAAAATCAAGCAGCCTTTCTTCACACAGGCATAATTATTACAGTGGTAACTGCTGAAGCTTTATTTGAGAAATGGGAGAGACTATTTTCTTAATCAGGTATTTGTTGACATGCAACATTCTTATCATCCTACTTCCTTGACATGTTTTAGCATCCTATTAAAAAATGACTGTCATTTAATTAGGTTAGTGGTAGATTATTATTCTGCTGTTGATGAAAAGCAGGTTAAAATGCACAACAAAGTAATAACTAAGTAAATAAATATGAAGGATGTGAAAATATTATGAGAAACAATACATTATAAGGGGCTTAAATAAGAAATATTGGGATAAACCTGGGGAGGAATGACCCATTGCAGGAAACATTACCAGCAGAATAGTACATTTTTATCAGTGGTACACATTTATTTCTGCTTGGAAACCTTTCCTAGAAAACATTTTTTCATTCTCCTGGTTTCTATATTTGTATTATCCTGCTAAGTAAAGCAATGCAGTGTGTGTGTTCAGCTGTTTAGTTCCACTTAAAATGCACATATGTTGTGTTAATTCATAGGGAGATATCATAAAAAGTGTGCAGTAACTCTCATTAAAAAAGGACGCTGTAAACTAAGGGTTCTTCCACATGACAGCTTTTAATTGCTTGCCATCCATGTAGAAACCTGCAGGAAATAAAAACCTTGCCAGATTTCAAACTCTTCCTCCTTTTTGGCCATGATGGTGGCCCGGTGCTCACTTCAGGCTGCATTTACCATAGTCCCAGTTGGTGGGTTTTCCCACTTCTTGACTACTTTCTTTCCATGGGGGATATTTCAGGACGTGGTTTCCAATGGACCATTTTTTTAATATGAGCCCCTTCCTTGTGTTTGGATCAGTGGACCAGAAGAAAAGAGAAGAACCACAGTTTTCTCATTATTCTAGTCAGTTGGACTATAGAGGAATCACATCTCTCGCAAATTTCACCCAGTTAAACAAAAACCAAAAGATCCCTGTTTCCCATTCCATCAGTTATTTAAAAAAGAAAATAAGCTTAGCCTTTCCCCATTCTACTAGTGAGCTTCCTTTTTAAAAAATGCCAGTGTTTCGCCAGATTTCCTGGGAAGAAGAAATAAAAAAAGGTACAGCTTTTCTGGTCCAGACCTCTCAGAAGAGGGCAGCCCACCCAGCCACCCAGGGCAGAATAGTCAGGGGGGCAGCAACCAATGGGTAGGGAAGTGGGATCATTCCCATCACCAGGCACAGTTTCCCCTTAGAACAGGAGTCCCCAACCCCCGGTCCGTGGGCCCGTTGTGCGGGCCGCGGCATGCCAGCAACCGGTCCGCACAAACAAGCAAAGTCCCATCCGTGAGATGCAGGCAGCACACAAAACCACGCCCCCTCTGGTCCACGGAAAAACCTCTTTCCACGGAACCGATCCCTGGCGCCCAAAAGGTTGGAGACCTCTGCCTTAGAATACAGGTGGTGGCCTACATGGAAATGAAGCCCAACAATTAACCAACCAGATAAGTCAGAAAACAATTTTAATGAGTGTCTAGTGGGCAGCGGAAACACAGGGGAGTGGCCTTCCTGGTGGATTGAGGGTGTTGTGTGTTTCTGTCCTTGAAAGATAGTTAGCGACTATACTCGCATTGGGACAAGCTGGTCTTGCCAATCAGATTTAACATTCACATCTGGCAAGGAACATGCATGTGGTCTTAGATCAGGGCTTCTCAACCTTGGCAACTTTAAGACTTGTGGACTTCAACTCCCAGAATTCCTCAGCCAGCTTTGCTGGCTGAGGAATTCTGGGAGTTGAAGTCCACAAGTCTTAAAGTTGCCAAGGTTGAGAAGCCCTGTCTTAGATGGTGACCCTCTCAGCCAAGCCTTTCCCATCTATAGAACCACAGCCCTGTAAAGTAGGTCATTGTTGATATTCTGGTACTGACTGGGCTGTACAGGGCTGTTTCAGGATTAAAAGTTAGAGACATCTTTGATTCAAGCTTCCTTTCTGTGACACACTTCTTGATCTTAACCAAACGGTCCATAAGCAGTGATTTCTATGACATACACATAGTTTCCTTGGCCACATTATAGAAGCAGATTAGCAATGCCCAATTCCAGAATGTCTTTCTGATTTCTCAGTCTAACCTGGGAATTACTGGTGGTCTCCCATCCAGTCAAAATCAGCCAGCACTGGCTAGATGATGCTACTTTCTGAGGTTATTTACACATAAGAAATCCTAAGGATTCTCATGATAAAATCTTCTTAAGAATGTTAGTTTTTCTATATTCGTGTTAATTCCATTCTTTGCTGGAGAATGTTGGCCAAAAAGTTTCTGTAATTTTAGCTTTTAGTTGTTTATTCATTTCTCATGTTTTCTTTCTCCCCAACATAAAATCCTCATACAATTTCTTCTTTTGGCTCATAAAATCCAAAATTGACAAAAGATCTGCTCCAACTTCATCCACCGCCAGGAAACAATTATTTACATTCTCTGGGTCCCTTACAAAACCAGTTCTAATCAGCACAACCCAGTCACCCAGTCACTCCTACTCCTCCTTTGATTAAAATAAATAATGATCTGTGCCCTCACAGAATTGCAGGATGCACACAAAAAGTTAAACAAGGATAATGTGGAGGAACTACAGCTGGGATGGCTGTACCCGACATCCTTTGGCTGCCAATGCTTTTATTCCTTCCCTGCTGGGAAAACAAATATTCTTTTCCTGCTTCTGGGTTGCAAATCTCCCCTGCAAATCAAACCTTCAGAATCTCTGTTTGCACACTGGAAAAGCAGTGCTAAGGTAGTTTTTGAGCTACAAAATGCACAGAACTGAAGGAGAAATCCAAAATCCCTTGCAGACATCAAAGAGACAATCTCATAAGACCACACAGTTGGGGGCCCTGTCCTACCAACTTCCCCCAACCCTCCAAAGAAGGCTTGGCCACCTCTTGTTTAGGCCACAGTTATACCTGTACATTTTTTGGCCATTAGTATCTCTCTAGGAAAGGACATCTTTACAATGACCTGCTTACTCATCTAGAAGCCGATCCTTTCCTTCTTTCTCCCTTCTGAAATTGCATCCCAGTAAAAAAAGAGAATGAGGATTGTCGGCAAAAATGTAGCTTTTGAATTCTAGCACTCTCCCTTTTGAGATGTTTGCAATTTGAAATGATCTCTCTCGGGTGGGGAATTGGAGCAATTCGCTACTGGGTCGCTTTCCCCATTTGGCATCTCCCAAACTATGCATGGCTTTAAAGTTGGGATTGTAGTCCTAGCACATTTGGTGGACGCCTACTTGGGAAAAGTAATTCAGGGGCCTTTGCTAAAAGCTCAGTGAACATTTCTTGTCATTTCTTCTATGTTTATCATGACTTGAAGCAAAGTTAATGATGATTGGGGCCTGATTCATGGTTTTTTGAACACTTAGGGTTGGCAACTCAGCGATTCCTCAGTTTCTAACGCTGCCCCCTGTGTTCGCTCCTAGTTACGGCAGAGTTTATGCAGCTGCAGACCCTTACCACCACACTATTGGCCCCGCTGCCACCTACAGCATCGGCACCATGGTAAGAATGGGGCCTTCTATCCCTATGTGCATAGCCATCCAGACCTTGGGGGAATATATGCGGTCAGGTTGGGTACTTGGGAAAAGAGGAAGAAAGATCTGGGATGTCTCTGGGGATACTGACACTCAGATCTCAGCTGCAGTCCGATTAATCAGCTGTCCGGGGCCAGAGAAACCCTAAACAGGAAGATTCTTAGAGAAGAAGCACACATTTAGGGCTGGGCTAACCCTGGCTGCCCTCATTGCCAGGGGATGCACATAATAGAAAGGATGGTTTCCTGAACAAGTGATGCCCTTCTTAAAAACCACCTGAAGTGAGCAGCAGCTTGTACAGGTGTAAGAGACCCTTCATTCAAAAGCAGTGCTTCATGGGGCAAATACTTTAAGAAGTGGGTTGGAGCTGAGCAAGGTGTGCGTGCATAGGGACTCTCCCCAAAGCCACCTCCCATCCTTCCTGTTCCTGAATACACTTCCACATCCAGTTCCTGCAGTGATGCCTCCTTATAATCAGGGCTCTAGGCAGCATCAAAGAGGAGAAAGATTTTAAGCCATCTTGCGATCACTTGCCCATCAGGGCCTTCCTAATGATACCACAAGATTTGCATTGAACTGTCAACCCTTGAAAGAGGGGGAATACTGAGAGGGAGGCATCTTCTAGATTAAGGGAAACTGAGGCATGGTTTTGTAAGGCCCTTGCTTCCTTTATCCATGGAAGGATTCATAGGAAAGTGCTAGGCACCTGCCCCCAAGGCACCATTTTACATTACTTTCCTCTTTAAAATGCATATCGGCCTTATCCATCTGGATAGTTTTCCTGTGAAATCTGCCTCACGGCAGCTTTGCATTCTGGGAGGTTGAGTCAAACCCCCACTTCTACCCCACTGCCCTTGGCCCTTGCTCCCATTTCAGAAGAAGGTCTCTGCCAGTGGCCACCCCCATATTGGCTCCAAGGACAGGGCAGGGATGGGCTGTGCCTCTCCTTTATACTGATTGGCTTTTTCTCCGTCTTTGATGTTGCAGGCTAGTCTATACCGAGGAGGGTACAGCCGCTTCACTCCCTACTAGCAAGACAGACCCAGACCCTCCTCACAGTAGTAACACTGACTGCTCCTTAGAAATCCAACCAAAACCCCGTGGACATGGGCCCCGCCCCTTGCTGCTGGCCCTTGGCAGCCTAAATCACCCATCTCTTTACCTCAAGCCGCCTGCCATGCCTCTCCTCCCACTTGTCTCTGATGGTGTATTGGCCACATTTGCGTCATTTTGCAAAGCAGCCAGCCAGGGAGCTGGGACAGGTGCCTCCTTTAACCAGACAAACATACACAAAGACACACACACACACCCCAACAAGATAATCTCAAGGAACCCTCTGCCTCCTATAGAGCCACCCAGTGTCTGAGTTCTCCTGTTAAATCAAGCCTCATGAAGGCCTTTGGGATACTGTTGCACTCGAAGGAGGCCCCTGCGAGGCCTCCTGCATCGTTTCTGCTCTCATACTTCTAAAGGAGAGGCTCTGACCAAAGGAACTCAGGATATCGTCCCTCTCAAGTGCAGTGGCCCTTCTTCTCCCTCACACAAAGGCAGGGTAAAAGTGCCAGGTGGGCAGCAGCCTAGATCCTTCCCATAGGGAAAAGAGAGGCCCGCTCAGGCCCTATATCAACCAGAGGGGCATCTTTCTCTTTCTCTTGCAAGGGGAGAAAAACTAAGGTCCCCTCTTCCTATTGGGAAATGAGTGAGGGATGTACTGCTATGCAGGCCTTGGTAGGGACTGGGAGGTGATCTGGACAATGTACAGTGAGTAGGAGACCCCACAGGATCCCCTCTGGGCCTAGCATGTAGGTCTCTGAGGGAGCTGACTGGGATCGGGCCCTGGGTGGGGCTGAGCAATCCCAACTCCTTTCACAATGCTGGCTAACATTCCAAGCAGGGCTTGGGTAACTTTCCTCTTCACTGATTTGCTGAGCAAAATGGACCCACAGCTGTGTATAAAAGGGACATGCAAAGCTTAAAGTTACTTGGAACTCCACTTCCCAAATCTAACATTCTGAACCAGCATACACAGAGAGAGCGGAAAGCGCTTCCCTGCCTTCTCCTCCTGCCCCATTCCCCCCCCCCCAGGCCACAGCCTGCAGGGTGCTCCATGGAACATTCTGCCTTTGTTTTCTGTTGTAGTGAAACCTTCAGCTGTTTCCTTCTGGGACCAGGAAGGGCACAAAACATTTTTTTTTAAAGCAAAGCAACAAACTATTACAAAACTAACAAGCCAAGCGACTGAGTGAAAGCCCCCTTCTGTCCACACATGCGCCCCAAGCGACAGGCCAGCCGGAGCGCAACTACTGACAGTCTGCCCGGACAGATGGACGGCACGGCAGCCCCATGCAGACTCCGCAAAGCTGTCCGCATCAGGAGACCCGTGCCCTGCTCCTCCCTGCTGCAGACCACGGGGCCAGGAGGGACAGGTACTGACACAGACTGGAATCTGCAGGCCCCAGGCCATCACGTCTTCCTTCCAACCCTCCTGAAGACCTGCGGCCCTCCCAGACCGCAGAAGACGCCATGAGCGCCAGCAGGGCTAGCCGTCCTGCTTCTTGCATCCCAGAAGTTCCCAGTGTTTTCGCGCTTTGCTGGTTCATCCGTTGGTCAAGTCGGCAAGCCTTGGAATCCTGTATGGTGTAGGGCCAGGCTGAGGGCTTCTGGGGTACGCCAGTGGATGGGCACCCCAGGTTTTCAAGGGGGATTTCTTTGAAGAAGTTGCACTTTCCTCTCCCCCTGAGGATCCCGGCTCCCATCGGCCCACAAGGCAGCGAACTCCACCCCTGCAGCTGTCCTTGGGGGAGGCCTGGCTGAACTCAGAGCTGAGAAAGTCCGAGGTCTCCAGGTCTCCCCCAGAACTTCCCACCCTGCACCGAAGGGCCGGGAAACGCCTCCCCCTCCGTCACACTGAAGCCAGGGTGCTGGGCAAGCATTTCCTCAAGGACTGTGTGGCTGGCAGGGGAGAGCAGCATAGCCCCCAGTTGGGGAGGGGGCCAGGCTCGGCACCAGGGCATTCGGAGAAAGAACCGTTTTGCTACACAGACCAAGCTGCACCACCGCCGCTGCTGCTGTCACCACCGCCGCTGCCACCCAGGGTTTCCTCCCTGCCCACAGCCCTTCATGGGAGGAGTGCATGTCCCATCGCCCACCCGCCCCCACCCCACCCCAGAGCCAGATGGACTCAGGGCCTCCTCCCTGCTCTTGACCTCCCCTTGGCTTAATCATCTCATGAAACCTCACTTTCTATTCAGCATTAAAGCTCCTGACATGCCAGCAACCAGATGATCCTCCTTTTCTATTCCCGTTGTATATAGCCCCACCTTTGCCACTCCTGCCCCCTTGTACAACCCCCCCTCCCATTTGCTACCCCCCTCTCCCACCCTGGGAGCATCAGCTACCCACCCCATTCTATATGCTTCAAAAGTGTGACCATTCAAATAAACAGTATTTATTATTATTATTATTTATTAATAAAGGTTTCTTTCTTCAATGAGGATGGCTCAAGATTTTAATTGGGAAGGGTGCAAACAGGAAGGAGAATTTGCAAAATACAGGCTGCTCTTGGAGGGTCTACGGCAACTCGCCACAGCCAACTCATCATGGCCAGCTCGCCACGGCCAATTTGCTGCAGCCAATTCACTGCACCAGCTCACCATGGGACAATTTGCCATGGCCAACTTGCTGCGGGAATTACACTAATATCTAAGAAATTGTGGAATAGAGTCATTAAAGAAAGGATGCCAAAGGAGGGACAAAATGAAACGTCAACGACAAAAATTAAAATATTTTTTAAATTATTTTAAATAATTACATTGAATTGTCTTGCAGCAAGTTATCCCATGGTAAGTTGGCTGTGGCAAGTTGACCGTGGCAAGTTGGCCATGGTGAGTTGGCTGCAATGAGTTGTCCCATTCTGGCTCTAGGAAGATATGGATGTATGATAAAAATCTTAGACAAGAGAAAACCAGGGACAGAAGGCAAATCTTTTCTAGTAGGCAGCACAAGAAATCTTGCAGGGAACGAGTTCCTGTGCCCAAAATTAACATCCAGAAGAACATTTCTGGCTAACTTGTCAAGGCCACCCAATCGTCTTGCTGCATCCTTTTTCTTTCCCTTCAATTTAATTCAGGTCATTGACTCAGCTTTGACCCAACTCATTTTGCTAATTTTACTGCAACCCTCTTGGGCTGGACAGAGCAGAGAAGCACTGATTGGATGCTCCGAAGCATTGGATGTATGAGCTGTCCCTTTTAAAAAAATCCCTCTTCTAAGCACTGTGGATAGACACCTTTTTTGCATCTCTCCCAACTAATTAGGGCAGAAGACCAAGAGGGACCAGAAGGGAGATTGGGTCTCTAATTCTCTTGGATTGAGAAAATCCAATTTGCCTATTGGGGAAATGACCTTGCTTGCATTTGCTGAATAAGGAGAAACATTCCCCCCATTAGGCTTGAACACTAGGACCAATGGTCTGGGAGCACACAAACATACAACACAACATCCCATGCTTCCTCTGTGTCTGCTGCCCATCTCCAAGATAGGCGGGAAAAGGCATTGGCAACCCCAGGTCATTGCACTGCAAGTATCCTAAAGGAAGTGCAGTTCCATCAGACATTCATAATATCTTGTATCCCTTCATAGCATTGACTATGCATCGATCAGTTGGTTATATATTGACTGAATTATATAGTTCCCATAAATAGTATTTATTTCCTTCTATACCTTAGACTCCTATCATTTCTGTCACCTCCACATAAGTATCTGAAAGAATTGGGGTGTGGGGTGAGCTGGGCAGTAAGGTCAAGATGGCAACCACAACTGCACAATTGAAACCCTACTCGCTTGTGTGTGTGGTATGACCTCACCCCTGCCCTGCAGTCACTGCTGACCTCCAGCTGTAAATCTGTCTTCCTATGGAAATCATCTCAGTCTGAATCAATTCCTATCACTCTGAAAGTGCCTGGAAGTTGCAAGTCGTGCAAAATGGGATTAGAAAACTGGTGCAAGTTACAAAGATCACATAATGTCACCTTGCATGGAGACATCTGCACTAGTGATCTGTTACTGGGCCCAATTTCAGGCGCTAACACTGATGGCTAAGAAATCCAATTCTTTCCTTGCCCAGCTGTGCAGATCTGCAGGAAAAGCCCTTTTGAAGGGACATTTTTAATTGCCTTGAAAGCTTATCAGAGTAGAAAGAGCTGGTGTAAAGCAAATAATCAGATGGGGCCATAGATGTGGAGGATGTTCAGTACCCACCAGCTTCAGTCAGCATGATTAGTGGAGAGCTAAGTGAGAATTGTACTTTAAAAATAAATACTCAGAACCCAAGTAGATGGAGAAGGCTGCCATCCACGTCCACAGGACAGACCCAGTGGATTTGTACAAGAACTTCTCGTCATAAATGCTGCCTCCATCAATTAATGAAGATGTGCCACTGGAGGGAGAGGACAGGACAGGAAAGAGGAAACATTAGAGATAAAAACAGCGTCTTCACTGCCTGAAATAAGGGCTGAGCAACATGGGCGCCTTGGTGCATAAAGTGAAAAAGAGCAAAATCCAAAACCGAGAGAAAATGTCATGAGTCCATCCCTATGCCAGGGCCGACATTTTTCAAAATGTCAATTTCTTGCTCTCGTTGCATTCATGCCCATCTGACCAGCACCGGCAGCGTAAATGTCGCTGTATCAATTTCCTTTGCCTTGAGCCATAGCCACATGTGGAGACTGGCCTGTGCAGCAAAGAACTGAGAGATCCCCATGTGTGCCGTGCTTGGCCAAACTCCCAGCTGCTAATTGCCTGCATGCCAGACTGCGAAGGAATAATTGCGGCTATCAATTCTCTTGCCAAGCGCTGCATCAGGAATTCAGAAAGGGAGTGTGTTGGTGGTTTTGCGCAAAAGCAGGACGAGAGGGACTCCCCACATAACCAGATCAGACCAGACCAGGAGAAGCAGGAAATTGCATGGCCCATTCTCTGGCCCTTCCGTAAGAGTTTAAAGGCAACACCCCCTTCAAACTGAGCTCAACTCCACGAATCTGTCCCTGTAGTCTCCTCAGCAGCAGTCCAGAAATGGTTGACCATGGTCTTCTCCCAGGTGCTCACCCATCTACGGGCAAAATGGGAAAATAAAAGTATGCCTATTACAGCAAATGGGGCAGAAATTAGTGCTGCCACACAGGTGCTGTAACGGAGTGTTGGCGCTTCTCATGCAGCCTCCTTCTCATTCAGATCAGACACGGCTTCCTGTAAATCTCACTGCCTAAGCTGCAGTGGAGCCAAGCACACAGCCAAAGCGAGCCACAACAAATCATTTCACCTGAGAGGTTTCTTCTGAAACAAATAGTATTGTCAGCTCTTGCCAAAGATGCCAAGGGACCAGAACAAAAATTGTACAACGTTCTGGAAGTGCAATGACTTAGGTTAACTTTAATTCTGAAAGCTGCAGTGCCACAAATGGCTCAGCGGCCCCTTTTCGCCCTCATTGCCTCGGCTGCGCAGCTGCTCAGTGTCAGTTGCAGCTTGTGTTTTGCTCTGCACACAGCCCCCCCCCCGTTTTCTTTACATGGCCCTGCCTTTAATTTTAGCTAAATCAGGAAATTGGCCTCCACCACTTTCCGCAAGGGGAAAGGAAAAAAAAAAACTTTATTTAACATTTTTAAATTGCTCTTCTCCCCCCCCCCCCGAGATAAGGGGCTGATCATTAAGCAAAACTTTGAACTCTACTGCACTCTATTTTCTGTAAACCCAAACTCTTAAAATGCACAAAAATGCTGTTGGTATTTTTAGATTTTGTATGCTTTCCTAATAATCCTAGGGAAGAAAGCACAATTATTTTTTGAGTATCGGTGAAAAAGGATAAAATCGAAAGACAGAAATTTTACTGCAATATTAATAGTTGCGGCAACCGCAACAAATGCCATGAAAGCACAATGCAGTTATGAATACGAAATTGAATTAGAATTTAAAAGTTAGCAAGTTTGCTTCTGCAGCAGCACAGTGGAAATCCAACATTTGACCTTAGTATTCAGGGAACCATAGGATTAATCCTGTTGAAGAAATAACAGGTCTCATAATGTACTATTTAGCCTTTACATATTTAGAGTTGCATTCAGTACTAAGTTGCAAATTGCCATGTATCCCTAAGAGAAAATCCCTATTGATTGCTGTAGTCCAGTATCACCAGAACCCAAGCAGATTCCATGGCAAAGAATACTGCATAGTGCACCAAGTCCAGAGGACATCCCCCCCCACTCCCAACCTACTATAGCAGTGTTTCTCAACCTTGACAATTTTAAGGCATGTGGACTTCAACTCCCAGAATTCCACAGCCAGCAATGCTGGCTGTGGAATTCTGGGAGTTGAAGTCCACATGCCTTAAAATTGTCAAGGTTGAGAAACACTGTACTATAGAGACGCATAGTAAAATGCCCGGGGGTGTCTCTGCCATCTTCCCCTTTCATTATTTACAGGCAACAGAGTTGCTGCGAAGTGGTTTCTAGGGGTTGAGAGGAAGCACAAGTTTAAGGCTCTCTGGGTCAACTTATGCAGAAATACAGAATCGATGCTGGCTGGGGAATTCTGGAAGTTGAAGTCCACCCATCTTAAAGTTATTGAGGATGAGAAACACTGTTCTGCAGTATTGGTTATTTATTTAAAAAAACTGAAATTTTCTCACATCCTCCTATTTCATTTGAGTCTAAAGTTCCCTGTTGATGAGAGCTAATGATTTTCCCTCTCTACTCATTAAAGGGATCCAACTGAAAGCAGATTTGACAATTGCCACCTGTTTCCATCTTAATGACACCGCTATTTGTAACTGTGCAGGGAACGGATGTTTATATTTTAAAAGCAAGGTCTGTAGGCTACGCTGTCCATTAATAAATCTGTTTTGAGCATTAATTCCCTGCCAAGTACACAGGATCCGTGTACATCCAAATATCTTTGGCTCTTGAATGTCAATTCTGTAAGACCATAGGACCATGCCCTGAGAGAAGAAACTCTCATAATGAAAGCAACAAACAGGCTTTATTAAAAGGATGTCACCTTGTGCACCTCTTAGCCTTAGTTTATGATGGGTGAAGCTTCTGTCTACGTTATGTTCACGGGCCCGGGTGTGGGTGTGCGGAAAGTGTGGCAGCGTTCACTGGTAGCTTTGGGTTAGAGTACACAAAGGTGAGTTTTCCCCACATGGCAGAATCAACGTTGCTCCCATCATTAGGGACTGGCTCCACCAGGAGCTCCAGGCGGCATGAGGACATAGTTTGAGGGTTAGGCACTGCTAGCTGAGTCACGCGGTACAGGCAGCCATGTGCTTCCCCAAGCAGGAGAAGAGGCAGTTCAGAGTCTCTGACACACGAACCACTCCGGTGATGCACACGGAAGCAGGTGGCCTTGCTGGAAGGATACGTCCAACTCAAAGTGAAACTGACAGAGAGGTGCTCAGCTGAAGGACGGTGCCAGTGGACATGGGAGGCATCCATGGGCAACATGGAACTGGTTTCATTGGGAGTGGACAGGGAGGCAGCATCCAGCATCTATAAGAAAAAGCACACGGTAGTTATAAAAAGGGAAGGAAATGGTCACCAAGCAAATTGGATAGATTCATAGCAGAGGACTGGAAAGCAGTGAGGAAATGAAGGGATAAAGAGGCGCCCTTAGGTAGCCTGGATCAAATAATCGTTGCCTCAAAGTTTCTCCTCAGAATAAGTGCTTGGAGGATCTGGCACAGTCTGTATTGATGGGGGTGGGGTGGGGAGGCAATGAAGGGATTAAAGTCTCAAGAGCACCTGGTGGTATCGACCAGCCTGAGCAAACATAAGATAGAATAACTTTGGTATAAACACCAAGAAGGGTACTGGACAAAGCAGCTGGGATGGCAACTTTTCAGCCATTCTGATGAGAAGCAAAAGCCTACTGTGAAGCAACCACTGGTTTAAAGAACAAGGGCCAGGCTGTAGAGCAGGGGTAGTCAACCTTGGCTCTTTTATGACTCGTGGACTTTAACTCCCAGAATTGAAGTCCTCCCAGAATTCCTGGCTCAGGAATTCTGGGAGTTGAAGTCCACGAGTCATAAAAGAGCCAAGGTTGACTACCCCTGCTGTAGAGTATCTCCCAGCTATATTGGATAACTGAGTCGCTGACCACCCACCCTGCTTTGAAAGCTGTTCATGGCAGTTCCCAATTGCTTTCCATGATTTCCTTACCCAGATCTTGCCCAGGCGGCATGTGAAGGGCATCTCCTCCTGTCCAGGTTGACGACGGGACACAGTGAGGGAGAGTTCATCCAGGAAGCAATTCCGAAGCTCCAATTCATAGCATCTAGCAAGAGAGTAATAGGAAAGTGAGACACAGTGGCTGGCATGCTATTACTAAGTCCATCCTGACTGTCCACAATGCTTTCTATGGCCAGGCACACAAGGCTAACCTTTTGATACTTCTTTCCATCATCCACATGCATAGTGCTGAATGGGTAAAGATGACAACAGGATCCTCTCTACAGGGGAGCATATGCTATAATGCCATAGAACAGCGTTTCTCAACATTTGTGTGACGGCAACCCCCGTCACACAAACGTGCCGCGCATGCGCGCCGCCCCATGTGCGGGGCCGCCCATGCGCGACGCGCATGCGCGGGGCGCCCCATGCATGGCACGCATGCGCGCCGTGCCGTGCATGCGCGCCACCGCCCCGAGGGGGGGAAATGGCGGATCACATTGTTTGGCGACCCCCGTAAAATGGTCAATCGACCCCAAATGGGGTCGCGACCCATAGGTTGAGAACCGCTGCCATAGAACAAGGGGAGAGCCGTGACAATAGCTGCTGCCACATATGAAACAATTTCATTGGAGAAAATGAGTGGAGACAACATTCTCTCATTTAGGATTCACTCACCGATTTTGCCAGCCATGTTCCCCACACTGCTCACATCCTCTGAGAAACTGGGCGAGGCCAGGAGGAGGCGTATGAAGCAGGGAGGGCGTATGTCGTGTTGGTTCTGCTGCGGAAGAAACATCCAATAGAGCAGAGGAAAGAGAAGTGAGCCAGCAAACCTGGGAACGACATCTGCTAGGCCACTTTAAGGACGCTGCAAGCATCCATGCAAGGAGTCCCAAAACAAAAAGCCTTACCCAATAAAGTAGAGGCCCCCCTGTCAGGGCGTGACCATGATTCTCGGGTGGTGAGCAGTGGTGCCAGAGCCGTGGCTTGAAGATGGGACTCGTGTTTAAAAATCAAGACCAGGAATAACCGCGAGGGTGCTGGCATCTGGAATGAGAATAGCCTGGTAACCCCCAAGCCCCAGACAGGGAGAGAGACAGAGAATACACCGTCACTGCCAACTCTGGGCCATAAAGCAGCACAGCACTATCTGAAAATGAAAAGGTCTTGAGGACCCAGACCAATGAGCTCGACCTCACCTGCCCACTTTGCACAAGGGAAAGGATAACACAATGGGCTCTGATGAGCAATGGAGGGAAGGGCCATACAGTTGACCATACGATTTCTGAAGCAGAGAGCTGAAATTAAAAAGGCCTCTACAACTACCAAGATGATTCTATAGGTAGCCTGGCTCCATGCCATCTAGGGCTTTATAGGTCATAGCCAACACCTCCAATATGCTTTGCAACAACCACATCAAACTCTTGGTTCACCCTTGGACATTACACTCTTTGAGACATAGTCACTTTATTTTGCCTATAAAGAATCCTTGTTTAGTTTCACCCAGTACTTTCTGAAGTTTTAATTAAAACATCCTCATTAGAAGTGGGTATGTCTAGTTTAACGAAGAGAAGGACAAGAGGGGACATGATAGCAGTATTCCATATCTCAGGGGTTGCCATAAAGAAGAGGGAATTAAGCTATTTTCCAAGGCGCCTGAAGGCAGGACAAGAAGCAACGGGTCGAAACTAATCAAGGAGAGAAGCAACCTAGAACTAAGGAGAAACTTCCTGACAGTGAGAACAATTAATCAGTGGAACAGCCTGCCTCCAGAAGCAGTAAATGCTCCAACACTGGAAGTTTTTAAGAAGAGACTGGACAGCCACTTGTCCGAAATGGTGTAGGGTTTCCTGCCCAAGCAGGGGGTTGGACTAGATGACCTCCAAGGTCCCTTCCAACTTTACTACTATTATTATGCCCACCCCAATTTTTCATTGGACAGCTGCTCTTCATTCCCTTCCATTTCTCTCTGTCTCTCTCCCCCTTTCCCTCCACCAGGAGTTGAGTCTATGTCTTCCCCCACCAGATTACAGGAGTTTTTTGGAAACTGCTGCTGTAGCTAAAGACCTGGGGGAAAATTGGAACTTTCATTATATATGTTGATTGCAGCAAGATATATATGCAAAAAGGGAATGATACATCAATTCCCACTAATTGGGTATAAGTAAAAAGTTGAGATTGTAATTCTATTTATACTTTACTAAGTTGGAACATCTTATTTTTTAATTTGTTTCTCCTTTACCCCCTCCCCATTTTCCTATTATCTTTATCTCTGTTTGTATTTTATATAAACTTAATAAAAATGTATTAAAAATGATGGAAACTGCTGCTGTGTTTTATGAGGGTGTTAATCTACTCCTGGCCAGATCAAACACAACTGTGCCAATTTCTCCACTCCCCATATAATCAAATCAGAGTTTGCATTCATGTTTATTTTTCTTGTTTTTGTTATTCATGTCAGCCCCACCTTCTATGATCAAATCTATCCTGGGATCTCCACAGAATGAGAACTAATCCAACTTTATCCTCTCTTCAGAGCAAGAACAGACTCTCAGCCTGAGGCATCCTGGACCAAAAAGTGCTTTGAGGGAGAAAGAGAATGAGACATTTTCCACAGAGAACACTCCAAATTCTCTGTTCAGCAGCCAGAAAGGAGACACTCCACAGAACACACCCTGGCCTTGTAAACTCAAGACAACACAAGAGACTCTTTCTCAACAGGTGGCTCGTAGGCTTGGCTAGGACCATGCATACAGCCAATTCAAGGGATTAAGGGCAGCTCAGACAACATAGCAAAAGAATGTTTCTCAATAGATTCTAAAAATGCACGAACAAAACAGTGAGGAAATAATCTCTCTCGGGGGTTGCTCCATCTGCTTGTTCTTTGTGATCAGGGGCACTTCAAAATTTGCAGGGTGAAGAGAAATCTACACAAACTTCTCCCAAACATCTGACCTTCTAAGGTTTGTTTTAACTGGGATGCACACTAGCTCAGAACCGTAATAATATCTGAGATCCTAACAAAGACGCTTTTTGATTGCTTGATAAAAGAGCATTTTGTGGCTGAGCAGGCAAAGCACCACTGGTGTGTTTTTCATTCAGAAAGCCTGGAGAAACGTCTGCCCCAATGTTGTCTTTGCGCCTCCATACTTTGATGGGAACACAGTCGATAAGGAAAGTGGCTTCCTCTCCTCATTTTGAAACAACTGGTCCCATCACTTCCTCTCCCCCTGCTGCCACCTTAGTTCGGATTTACCAGGTTGCTGATGGGAGAGCCAGAGTTACAGCATGGTGTACTTGAGGCAGCTCCATCAGTCAAAGGAATGTATCCAGCAGTGAGGAATCCCGGCAATGGGCCCCAGGGGAGCCCAGCTCTTCTATGATTGCCCACTTCTTCCTTAAGCCTCAAAAAGGGTGAAAAATATGAATTCTTCGCCTTTTCTAGTTGTGGGAATACAGGTAGTCCTCGACTTACAACCTTTCACTCAGTGACCATATGAAGTTGCATGGCACTGAAAAGGTGACTTATAACCATTTTCCACACTTGTGACCACTGCAGCATTCCCCCAGGGTCACGTGATCAAAATTCAGGTGTGGGGCAACTGGCACGTATTTATGACGGTTGCACTTTCCCATAGTCATGTGATCACCATTTTTAACCTTCCAGCCACCTTTCAACAAGCAAAGTCAATGGGGGAAGTCAGCTTTGCTTAGTGACCGCATGACTCACCTAGCAACTGCATGATTTACTAAACTGTGGGGAAAAGGAGCAAAACTCAACAACTCTTGCTTATTACCTTTAAAGCCCTATATGGCTCAGGGCCAGGCTATTTGCGAGACCGCCTACTACCTCATAGTTCCCTTTGTCCGGTTAGATCCCACAGGCTGGGCCTCCTTCAGGTCCCGTCGGCCAAGCAGTGCCATTTGGCGGGGCCGCGGAGGGCTTTCTCTGTGATGGCGCCCACCTCTTGTAACCAGCTCCCCCCGGAGATTAGGACCGCTCCCACCCTGTTGGTTTTCCGTAAGCTGCTTAAGACCTGGCTTTTCCGGCAGGCCTGGGGTTTATAAAATCTGACCCCTGGATGACTGTTCTTGTACTGTTTGTTTTGTTATGTTTTATGGTGTTTTTATTGTTAGCCGCCCAGAGTCCTCTGGGAGTGGGGCGGCTTATAAATTTTAAAAATAAAATAACAATAAAATAAATAAATAAAATAATGAAAATTTGGGGCTCAGTTGCGACTGTAAGTCGAGAAGCACCCTCTCCTGCTGCCTGTGTAAGGTGCTCTCAAAGAAACGGTGGGATCAGCAGCTCTAAGAAAGGCAGGCAGTCCTGCCCTTGACTGCACTGGCATAGAATTTATCTTTGAGCAGCCATCAATCACGTTTGCCAACTTGAAGCAGACTTAGCTAGTTGGAAACAAAGAGAGAAGCCCGAAGACTTACACTGGGGAGCACCACTCCCTTCTTCTGTAATCTAAAGTAGGTGTGTGCGGATAAGCAGTGGCATGATAGAACACTGACAGGACCGTTAAACATTTTGACGACCTATGAGAGGTAATATTCTAAGGGACACACATCAAAAGCTGCTTCAGCAGGAGGCCATTTATAGTCAGGAGCCCCCTTGGTTATCATACTCGGCCTACATGGTTCGTTGCATTGCTGTCCTGAAAATGCTATACTTTGGAAAAAAGGACAAGGCGTCTCTCGTGGATTCTGCTTAGCTAGCACCCCTGAGGTCGCCCTCTCCATCACTATCTCTAAGACTCAAAGAAGAAGGCCAAAGTAAGGAGTCTTATTTAATGGTGTAGGCTCACCCTGTCTTTTGCAGTCCTGCCTACTTAGGCTTCAAATAGAGGAGATGCCTTTGAGTTTCCAGAGGAAATGACAGCAGACCTTTGGGGCTCTTGAGGGAAGGAGCACAGACAACAGGTGAGCATCTGGTCTTCCTCACAGGTGTTCGACAACATAAAAGCCTTCTGGAATCACTGGTCATAATTTAATGCAGAAACTCTGAGTTGGAAATGTTTCGTTTTTAGAGCCCAGAAAGAGGATGGCAGGCAAGGAGGTGCTGCCCTTGAACTTCCTTTCTTCAGTAAGGGCCGTGCAGATGGCATCTCTTCCACAAACCACAATCATGACTATTGGCTGACTGGTTGCAGAAAATTGGTTTTTCATCCACCTCGGCCCTCCTCTGACAGAGAGCTTGGTTTTTGAGTGGATCGCCCTATGCCGTTCTCGCCACTCCACAGTTGCATTGCTGAGAGGGGATGACTCTTTTGTAGAGCTGCACCCCTGAGCTTAAGGGATCGTGTAGGAGGGAAGAGTGCCCAGAAAGAGAGAGAAGGACTTCCGGGACTGATCTTGTAATTCCAATTGGAGAGTATTAGGTTTGAGAAAGGTATAAATGTTACCTGGGATTTTGCACTCACCTGGTTGTGACATCCTCAGCCTTGGCTGGGATGGCCCCTTCCAGCAGCAAGGAGCTGCCTCCACACCAGGCTTCCTGCAGGCAGCACCGGGTCCGCACCCAGCCCCTGTCAGGCATTCTGTGGCTGCCATATATTGGCTGGATCTCTTGAGCACTTAGGTTGTACCACGGCTCTGTCCTTGTCTCCTGAGCAAAGAAAAGAGCCACTGCAGGCTGAGTTGGGCCAGCTCGATTTACACAGCATGTTTCCCACAGTAAGGACTGCTCTTGCACATCTAAGGGCCATTTGCATTGGGAGCCCCCAAACATTTTAGTAGCCTTTGAAGATGTGACTTTCAGTACATATGCCCTTTTTTCCTGGCCCAAAAGCAGCACACCTTCAACACCAGACCCCCACTTTCATTTTCTAATAAATAAGCCTTTCCAAAAGGAATGAAAATACAAAGAGGTTCTCTCCAGATCAGCAAGCACTGACACCCATCATTTTCAAAGGGGTGGGTGGAAATGGCTATTCTAAAGGCTGTCTCATTTTCTATTATAAGACACAGAAAGGCTGAAATCCTAGAGCAACTCTCATGGAGCTCAAGGAAAGCTGTTGGAAAATAAGTCTGCAAGGGAGAGTCCTAGAAAAAGATTCAAGACCAATAACTAGTCACAGAACTCCTTTGCAAAAAGTCTCCTACAATCCTCTATGGTATTTGGAAGACAGCGATGGCCTTAATCTCTGTATGAGACCACTAACTAGCCAGGCGATCGTGAAAGATTAGTTCTGGCCCTGAGAGGATTATGCCACAAGGAGAAGGGCTGGCACTGCCCACTCATTCCCAGCTCCATTCATCCTCCCCAAAGTGTCCCTCTTCCATGTGCTCCTACCTGTCCATGACTGAAGTGTCGATTACCCGCACCCAGATTGAAGCTGGTGCAAAAGGGGAGGGAGACAATGTGGTGAATAGATAGTAGCTTTGACAGCAGGGCCCAGAATCTATGAAGAGGAAAGAAGGTGTCACGGGAACAGTCTTTGCATAACCTCACAAGCCCAGAATCCACCACATCAAGAACCCAAGGTGGCAAAGAAGAGAGAAAGGACTACATCTCCATCAGCCTGAAAGTTTTCTTCTGTTAGGCCTGCACAGCCCAGAGCCCCAAAGAGATGATCTGCTCATTGGGGGGTTCCTGAAGTCCATCCCTAGAAGGAAGTCCTTCCCCGCATAGGCCTTACTTATCCTCGTTGTTCAAGAAATCTCTTGGGCCCAGGTGCTCGTATACCCAGCCAGGTGCAAAGAGGGCTACCGAAAGACCCTGCTCTCGAATCATCTGCAGTGACTGAAGAAACACAAGGAATACAAGAATCACCATTTTTCTACTGTAGGGATTTAGAGCATGGCTGGTTTGGGGCTTCTAGGAAAATAGTTCCCTTCCCCAAGGACAAATATTTTGGCAGCTGTCCTAAGAGGGTCATTTATGCCAAGCGTGACAGGCTTTTGCCTCTTGGTGGCCCTCAGAGAGAACCAGAATAAATACTGCAGAGTGATCTGTTGCACCTGGCATAGCCAATGCCTGCAAGGCAGACTCCTGTTGTTCAGGGTGCCCGCCAGCCTACCTTCTTGGTATCAAAGCCGCTGCTCACAACATTGCCTCGTCCAAACACATCAACCCCCACATAGACATCAGTCTGCCGGCTACTGGCTGCCTCTCTAGTTCGCAGCAGATGTTCCTCTCTCCAGTTGTAATTGGTGAAAAAGCCATCACAAACATCAAAATAAACTCTGCAAATGCACAAGGAAGGGAGGCAAATTACAGCCAGTCTTGCCAACTAAGGCATAGAGCCATTTAGGGGTCTCCAGGAAAACTCCCCATGTCTTTTCATTTATTATGCCCAGAAAGCTCCAGCACAATTTTCTCTATCCTGAAGCTTTCCAGATTTATCTACAAATCCAGCTTGAATAGCCACTTTCTATGATTTCCAATACAAACCAATCTGGGCAGCATCAGACTGGGAATATATTTTTCACCTTCATGATTTTTGTAGCCCAAATCTGCGAATTTCTTTACTGAAGAAATGATGGCCAAGGCCAACACCCCCCCCCCAAAAAAATCCACTGGCTAATTCCACAGTGCTTTGTTCATTCCCAAATGAATATGAGTGCCCCTTTCGCCGCCGCCCCCCGCTCCCCACCCACCTCTCCCAGGATTTGGGAGGGCAGACCATCATGCATTAAGCCCCAATGATTAGAACAAGTCCCCTATGACTTTCACCAGCTTTTTGAGTCCTTACTAAGCACAGGACTTAATTTATAGGGCTTGCACATTTAAGGTTTGGATTGACATTCATATTTTGGTCTTCTTTTAAAGAACAAAATTAATCTCCTGCTCCATTTTCAGAACAACCTTACCAACTTGTTTGGTTAGAAGGTAGATATTTGCCCAAAGCAGTTTCATGTTAACAATCCACTTACTGCCTCTTATAAGTGCCACCGCATTCCATGTGGTGCAATTATTGACTTTACGACTATGCTGCCACCATTGTGTGACCAGTATTTCAAGAAGATGCTATATGAGGATGGAAGTTCAGTAGGGTTACACAAAGTACTTTTAACTTGGATGCCCTGCTTGCCTTCCTCTTCTCGGCTTTTTGGAGAGAAAGAGAGAGAGAGAGATCGGAAAGGAAGTTAATAAAGAACTCACTTGTTTTGTTCATTGAGCTCGTTCTGCCACTTGAGCTCTCCATTCTTCAGGACACTGTCATACCACAACACTTGTCCTCCAGGTACCAGTCTGTGCACCTCGGCTGTCAGTTGTTGTAAGAAATGGGGCAATTTCTGAGCTATCAAAACCTGCCAGGAAAGTTAAAACACAGTCACTCTGCTTTGCAAACATCAATCAATCATATCCTGCAGTTTTCAAACTGTGGATTGCAACAGAACCCCATTACCTTCCTACAGAAAACTATGTCCATCGTTTGTAGGAGTTTTTCTTAAACTTTTAAAGTCCATGGAATATCAGACAATCTATACAATTTTAATGGGGAACATTTATGACTGTTTCTTTAAAGAAAAGAAAAGGGAGTAATGAAATAAAGCACAGTTTATGACCTTGCATCCAACAACATTATTTCATCAATACATGGCAAGAGATTTATTCAAGCCTTAAAAATGACAGAAAGTTCAGTCTACTTTAATATTTCTTTTTAATTATAGCGAATGCTGAAAATCAGTTTTAAGCGACTTTTCACATAAAATATCTTTGGGAGGATGGAACTACCCTCCAAAAGTCTTCTAGTAAAGAATATTCAGATTTCTGTGTGACTGAAAGATATCTACCCCCTTCTCTTTATTTAAAGTAGGGAAGGGATATGGCTAAGGAAATAGAATGGATCCTAAATTTATATATTTATATTTGGATGAGAATCGTGGAGTCAGATATTCAAATTGTTTGGAGAACATTAATGTATTGCGGAAAATAGTTTAAGAAGCAGTGCTACACAGAATACATGAATATGTAAAATGCATTCCATTCCATTCACCATGGAGGTTTGTTTTGATCCAAACCATCTCCATTAAAGGAAAAGACTTCTCATGAATGAGGCGAAAGGAATTTTCCTGGCTTGCGCAAGAAGGTGTCTATAGTCAGTAGACTTTTTAAAAAAGAAAATTAATGAAAATTGAATGGAATAATTGTCAGCTGATGCCTGAAAAAAGGCAAATAATACCCCTAAAGCAGGGGTGTCAAACTGCCGGCCCACAGGCCGGTTTCATCATACCGAAGCCGTGCCCATCCCATTGCTGGCAATGCAAGAGTCGCGATACATCGCGACACGTCAAGTGACGTGGCGAGTTTGACACCCGTGCCCTAAAGCAAGCTGGAGAGGTGTCCTCATTACTTCATGGGTGGAAAAAAATATATCTCAGATTTAAAGAAGCACCTCTAGAGATTTGATCTAAATGAGGAATGCATAGCTCCTCACAATCACCACACACAGGACTTGTTTGTTTGGTACCTTTAAAACACTTTTAAAATTTGCCACCAAAATGCCATTTTTAATTACACAGGATAAGAAAATTCTTGAATTTATGGGGAGTAAACATATTAATCAAATGTAATTATATTGATATTTAATTAAATCTCAGCATAATCAAACCAAGTTTTGGACTTGGCCCCTTCATCTTTGTTCTGACTATCTCTGCTTTTGAGAAAAAGAATATCAATGGCCAAATATCTGCTTTCCCCTTTCTAAATATGGGTCCTCTGATTTAAATTCAGAAACTTCTCTTGTGATTTTATCAAAACTTTGCTTCAGCAAAGCAGCAAATAATGAAGCAGCATTTTGCCTGTTGATACACTGTTCCCTTTCTGGGATGTCCATGGGAAGGGGGTATCAAGAAATTCAAAATTGCGACCACACCTATGTGATTGATGTTTGCTCACTTCAATCATTTAGTCACAGTTGGCATCTAAAGTTTTTTAACTGCCCTCTGCAAACAAGCCTAACTTCTTTAGTCTGACAGATGGATAGCGACACAACTTCATTCCACACTCTTGTCCGCCCACAAGACTTCCACTCTGGAGGAATCTCATTCCACTTCTTTACATCTTTCCTCTTGATTGTCATTTTTCCCGAACCCAATATCATCTGCCTTGCTGTCCTCAATATTGCTCTACTTGTGAGTATCAGTTTTTGGTTTCTATTAGGATGTCTTTCCCTCTGGAACATTTAATCCCCCCCCCCCTCCCCAAGATTCAGTGACCCCCAATCTTGCTGGCCTTCAATTAGGCTTCAAAGACTGGCTTCTCCCCAGACAACCCCACTGGGTCAAGCCAGTGGATGAGCCCATCTGAAATGGTTTTGAGCTGAATGATTGTGAATTGGCTTCAATTGTATCAGGTCTTTTTTTGTTGTTGTTGTTACTACAAGTTGGAGGACAAATTGGCTGCTCCCCTTTATCTCTTGCAGACATCAGGATCTTTAAAGAATCACGGCTGGAGCTGACAAAAGAATGTATCTACTCTATACAAAATGCATCTATGGTTGTTTTAATATACACATTATGCCCATAGGAATGCAGATCCTATAAGTTTCAGGAACAACTGTGAGGCTCCATCCTGGCTTAAGCCTAGCATCGATCTAGGTGTATAGCAGTGGTTCTCAACCTTTTTAATGCCGCGACCCCCAACCAGTCATAAGTCGAGGACTACTCAACCGGTCGTAAGTCGGGGACTACTCAACTGGTGCAGCACCGTTTGCAGAATGGGACTTTTGGCAGGCTCAGCAGGGCAGAGACAGCCTGGACAATTCCTATTGGCTTTTGAAAGCCAATAAAATTAGACTCTATTCAAGAGAGTCTATTCTATTGGCTTTCAAAAGCCAATAGAATAAAAGGGAGTAGCACAGCTAAGGAAAAGGGGGGGAAAAAATGGCGGACTGCGTTGTTTGGCGACCCCCGTGAAATGGTCGTTTGACCCCAAATGGGGTCCCGACCCACAGGTTGAGAACCACTGGTGTATAGGGAGAGGACAACTAGGAACCAACTGTGACTTACATGCAAAGAGTTTTCAATGTTGACCAACCAGCCATCAAAACGATAAAATTCTGCGATTGCAGCCAGCTGCTTAGCCACTGCAAGATAGGCTTCCTCCTCGCCTGCCAGAAATGATTCGCACGTCTTCTCTCCCTCTATCCACTCTGTGATGAACGTTCCTGCAAGCAGGAGAGGCAACACAGGAGACACTGACTCTCTTAGCTTTTGTCTGCTTCAAAATCTCTCTGACCAGGCCAGTAGGAAGTTAGCACTGATCCTAAAGAAGGAATATCAATCAAGGAGGTTAAAGAAGAAAATAAGAGAACCAGATCCAGTATTTTGCTTCCCACCGGGGGCCAATTAAATGCTTCTGGGAAATCCACAGAACATAAAACTGACACCAAGCTAAATGTCAGAAAAATCAGAAATAGTCTTTGCCATTAAGCAAAGCCAAAAAAGAGGGACAGTATCGGAGGCATTAAGAAGCCATACCACAATTCCTGGGATTGCAAACTATTCCCTATGGAGAGTAATCCAATTTGCTTTTATTATTTTTTAAATTGCATAAATAATAATTATAGATACAAAATGGGAGCTTTTTTCCCTGGGAGTTCAAGTTATCTCCTCTCATTTTATCCCAGTAGCTCTCAGATTGGGTTGATAGAATAACAGGTCTTGAGACACCCGGTGAGTTTCTGTGGCTGAAGAGGGGCTTGAATTCAGGACTAACCAGACCTAACCCAGGACTTTGACCAGGGCCAATGACAGTTCCTATGTTTTGCAGGAACTTCCAGAAAGAGGAAAGAGTAATAGGAATACAATCATCTAGCAACAGATAACAGCACAATGCAAAGTACACAATTAATGGCAGGAGAGTGATTCCATTGTTCCAGAATAAAGCCCTCCATCTCAGAAGGAAGGACAGGGAAGATTCCAGAACATGAGCACTTCCTTACTGCATGCGCTAAATATGTCATTTTCAGAGAAGGGCTCCACTCAGGCCATTCACCATCTCTTAAACCTACCTAGCATGAGGACGCCGTTGCGGTGAGCAGCGTTAGTCCACACCACTGGAGGGATGGTGACCAAGTGATGACTGAAGTAAACAAAAATGTCAATGTAGCACCAGTGGTAAAACACGTACGGGTCACGTACCTTTACGCCTTGGATGAACCTGCAGAGGCATTGGGGGCAGGGGGGAAACAGAAAGAGAGAAACTTAGCAAAAGTCCAAAGGGATGCAGTGCATTCAGCTTTACACCCCCATAGGCCAAACTTACTCTGAGTATTTTATCAGTCTGTTCAGGCTACTCAAACCAGCCAAAGCTGTTTATCATTTATTTTACTCCACCTGAAGCAAGGGGGAGGGCTAGTTCTCATACTCCCTTAAGAGATTTTAGATTAACAACTGGATTTCTCCTGATAATTGCAGAAGCCAAATTTAATTCCCTGTTCCCTTTTAAAGCAAGCATTCCAAAGCCAATTTCAAGCAGTACAAGAAGCCAATAAAACAGGAGATTGTTTTGAATGACACATAATACAGCTAACGAAACTGCTTGGGGACCAGATCCCTTGAGTGGAGCACAGATGCCAGAAAGCAGACTGGGGAGGGGAGGGGAGGGAGGACAAAACTCTTGAATCATTTTTGCACCTCACTGTACTTTTCACCATAGATCATTCCAGACTGGAGAACCCCCACAAATACCTCTACAAAGTTACAGCCCTGGGGCAGGGGTGTTTCACAGATTTTTTTCTTAATACAAAACCTACTTGCTATTTACCTCAGCCATCCCCACAATTGCCTTGCAGATGTATGGAGTTCAGCACCTGGAATTCCTAGGCCAACATGACATACCTGAACATTCTTGGAATTGAAATTGAGGATGTGCATAGGAAGATGTCAGGCTGGGAAAGACTAACCGACATCACCACTGATGTCACACATAGTTTGGTTTTAAAAATGTCACCTGGGAAGCCTTTATCCAAACCTCTGCCTGAACACTCCTCCTGCACATTCCATTTTCAATATGAAAGTATAATATTCTGTGGGACCATTGTATCAATTATAAGACTATAAGATTATATGAAATGCTTTGATGAATCTTGGTTTGAATGCTTCATCTGGCCACCCCAACTAACCAGGAATCCCTGGCAGGTGACATATGAAATCCTATCCAGGATAGCCAGGAGGTACGGAATGGTCCCAGCAACTTTAGCAGAGAATCAGTTACAAAGCCTTCTTTGTTCTCCACCTGTCTTCAAGATAGCCTCCCCTCATGTCATGGCAGACCAGTGTACGGGGCCGGTGGCTGTCAAGAGGGGGCTGGCGTTTAGCCAATGGTTCAGTAGACACATTGAAAGCATCATCCTTGGTGGGTTTCCAAGCAAGCAGCTCTTCCAATCCAGAGAGGTAGAAGCTGATTGGTTCAGTGGTTTGCCTGTCATATTGCCTGGCTGGAAAGAGAAGGTCAGAGGTTATGGCTTCAGGCAGAGAAGTATTCTGGTTCCCTGGGAATGAGAGTGCAAGCCACCCAACAGCAAATCGTACCAGGGAGTGGATCAGGAGCAAAATTGACCACTCTATGGAGAACAGAAGATCTTTGGCTTTCCATATCCCGCTGCAAACTGAAAAATAAGGGGAAAAAATCAGAAGGATCATAGAAATATAGAACTGGAAATAATCTCAGAGGTCATCTATTCCAGCTCCCTGCTTAAGACAGACACCTCTCCATCTTTCGGTTTGAAGACTTCATTTAAAAGTCTAGATGTTCATTAGAGGAACATCATACCCACTGGCAGCCTCTTCCATTGGCTGACACTCTTAACAAAAGGAATACCTAATCTGAATTTACTTCCATGAAGTTTCAACACATTGGTTCTGATCCTGCCCTCTAGGCCAGTGTTTCCCAAACTTGACAATTTTAAGGCATGAGGACTTCAACTCCCAGAATTCCACAGCCAGCAACGCTCTGTTCCCATTAATACATCCCAAAAGAGCAAATTGTCTTTCTAAAAGTTCCCCTCCTCGCCCCACAAATATTCTTCATACTATGGGAAGACAACTTTATTACATAAATGGCCATATTTATTTCTCTACATTCAACACATTGCATCCAGACACATTCAATAATATGTGCCTGGGTGCAAACAAAACAGTACAGAATCATCAAACAGAAAAATATGCACAAACCTCCTTATTAGTTAAAAAACCATTTCTCTCAATACAGAGATATAGAGATAGCCTGTATGAACAAATATTTGACTGTCACTGAGAAGACACCAAACCAGGCAACTTTCTTGGTGAAGAACTTGATGAACAAAGTATTTCCAGTAAAATGCTATAAAAAAGACTGAGTGTCTGCCCGGTGATATTCTTATCTGAAGGATTTAAATGAATAGGAACATATTTTCTGCAGAGATTTAGATTCTGAAAAGACTGCAATAGAATTTGGCCTACTAGAGAGACCAATTATAAACGGAGTTCAGTTCTTTAGCAATGTGACCCTGATGTAGGCAAAGATTTTGCCAATGAACTCAGGCCCTTACTTGCACCTCCAATCTCTAATCAGGGTCATGTCCCTGCTTGCACATAGCCGTGGCACAATCATTCTTGGCTAGAGGAATGAAGAAAACTTCATGGACCTGTCCACAAGGTCACCAGGATTCAAGTTCAACCTGAAGAAAACTATGCCACTTTAAAAATATCAACCAGCTGAACTGTGTTCATTATTTACATAGCTTGCTGTATAAACCCATCAAGCAATCTACAAAGTAGCATCAGCAAAAACAATTAGTATATTTTTGCCAGAAAGCAACAAGGGTGTGGTAGCTTTGTGGTCACCATTTCAAACTCAACTGGATGAAGACTTTAGGTTTTTTTTTAATGTAAATAACAAGTGGAAGGAAAGAGTACCACTCATTAGCACTCAATCAGATTGGCACACTAGCACTTACACTGTAGCTGTGTGGCCTCTTCTGCTTTGGTGTAAGGCTGAAATAGCGTAACAGCAAAATGATGGGAAGGAGAGAAATTCTAAAGAAAAGTAATCTCTCCCATGAAATGATTCCATGCCTTATCTTGGTTCTGATTCTTCCTGACTTTGTTAAACTTGTGTTATAGCAGTTAATTAAATAGTATAAGTGAACATTAATACAAATATTAAATTATATATAAATATTCAATCATGTACTGATAAAGAATACTTGTAGCTCAGTGTTGAAATGAGATGTCCTTGGTGCTCTCTGAGCTTGGTTGTTTTCTTGCAGACATTTCAGTGCTGATGAAGCTTCCTAGTTTGGGTAATGAAATGCCTGTAAGAAACAACCAAGCTGAGAGAGTACCATGGACCCCTCATTAAATTTTATATCAAAAATATAAATGAAGATAATTATTAAAATGAATAAATTTACTAAATTTGTGTTATATTATTAAGAGGAGGTACCCAGAGATGAGAGATTCTAGGACCAGACTTCTACCCCTTTGGGCTGTGGTGCTACCCAGGTTAACCAGGTGATGTCAAAACATCAAGGAAGGCAAGGCTTTAATTGTGCAGTTCTGACACCAGACTGACTTTTTTTTTTTTTTAACTTTTCCCTGCAGAGACCCCTGATACCATGATTGGTATATATTTTGCTTTGCAGCTAGTAATGTGTTAAAGGAGGGCAGCAGAACTAAACCAATTACTTTGTGGATGCCATGACAGAGTCAGGATAAGAATCAAGAGTAGGAACAGAAGATTTCAGGTCAAAGCTGGTTTCGGCTGACTCAGAATGCTTTAATTTTGTGGTAGGCAAGTCCTACTTCATCATCCCCGGATTCTGCAATTCCACTATTCTTGGAATGCAATTCCACTTGTTTCCAATGTTGGGATGCTAAGATGATAATCTCTGCAGAGTTTCCTGCAAAGCTGTCCTGCAGGAGTTCATGCAGATCTCGCTTTCATCTGTATAAATAAGGGTGATACAGGTAGTCCTTGACTTATGACCACAATTGGAACCAGAATGTGTGTTGCTAAGCCACACAGAGTTGTACCTGATTTTATTACTTTTTTTGACAGGGTGTTAAGTGAATCACTGCAGTTGTTAAATAAATCGTGTGGCTGTTAAGAGAATCCAGTTTCCTCCACTGATTTTGTGGCTAGGAAGGTCACAAATGGTGATCACATGAACCTGAGATGCAGTAACTGTTATAAATACATTGTCAAATTTTGATCAGGTGGCCATGGAGATACTATGATGGTTGTTAAGTGTGAGGGTTGGTCATGAGTACTTCAAATGGTCGCTGAACAAATGGCTGTAAGTTGAGGATTACCTATATGGATAAATCCTGCTGATTAAGGATATGTAGACTTACTGGTTAAGCCACCCTAAATGTGTGAGGGGGAAGTTCCATTTGATCCTCCCAACAACAAGGTATGGCTGCCATTATTACAACATCAAGGTTTCCCTTAATATTGTTAGGAATAAAATTTTAGAATAAAAAGTAAAGTTAAGTGACACGTACTCTGTAAAATTTCTACACATAGACTGTAAGATTTCTACACAAAATATCTACACGTAGACTGCAAGATTTCTACACAATTTCTACATATACACGTACCTTGTAAAATTTCTACATGTAGGCTATAGGATTTCCACACTGAGCTGTAGGATTTCATGATAAAGTACATATAAGGGAATAGGTGAAGCAAAGTAGTAAGGGGCAGGGATAATGTATTTTGTTTAGGTGGCTCTGATAAGATTGTAACCTCAGAAGAGGGGCCAAGGCGTCGGGATAGAATGTATATAATATGTGTTTTCACTGTGACTAGGTGTGGCTCAAATATTTATTTGGAGTCCACCACGCTTTGCAAACCGTTATAGCCAATAAATCTCTGTCTAATTTCAACTTGCTGTTTGGTGTTATTCAATGGGCTAGAATTTCTACCAACACACCTACAAAGTTACATTGGGTGGGTGTAAAAAGGGTTCTCAGATATTTAAAGGGAACCATAAATTTGGATCTTCAAATACAGATTACTGAGGAATTGAAATTAAAGTGTTATGTCGATAGTGACTATCCAAATGACATAAACACAAGGAAATCAAGTTCTGGGATTATAATATTATTTGGAGGGACTCTGATTGGATGGAAGTCCAGAAAACAAACAACTGTTGCTATTTCAACAGCGGAAGCAGAGTTTATTGCTTTATCTGAATTGTGTTCTGAAGTAACATGGTATGTACAGTTGTTGCAAGATTTAAATATTAATGTAAAATAATCTGTAAAGGTACCGTATATGCCGGCGTACAAGGCGTCCTGGCGTATAAGATGACCCCCGTCTTTATCGCTGAGCCGCATTCCTAGAACGTCGTCTTATACGTCAGAAACTACCAGTATTTCCGGCGTATAAGACGACTCGGCGTATAAGACGACCCCCATCTTTGGCGCCGATTTTAGCGCTCGCAGAAGTCGCCTTATACGCTAGCATATATGGTATTTGAAGACAATGCTGCCTGTATAAAAATGGCAACTGATGACAGGGTGAAGAACAGAAGTAAACATGTAGACATTAAGTATTGTAATGTCAGGGAAGCTGTAAAAGGAAAATTGATTAGTTTACATCATTGTTGTTCTGAGGATAATTTGGCAGACATGATGACTAAACCATTGGCTGGTGTTCACTATGGAGAATGTATTAAGTCAATAGATCTGATGTCTCTTCCTGTCATGAAGGGAGGAGTGTTGGAATATTCATGAGCAGGAAGAGTCATGTGGTAACTCAGTCAGCCAATATGAAAAAAGTGCTACTGAGTCTATGCAAAAGGTATTGAGTTAGAAGCTGAATTTTCAGTCTCAGGTTTGTCTCTGTATCTCTCTGTAAGAAGTCTTCATTGAGCTATGTTGCTGTAAAGAAGAATGTATGGTATTGTAAATATTTTGATATGAATATAAAGAAATTTATTTGAATCAGCTAAATGCAGTCAACTGTGAGAGCTTCTGATTTATTTTTCACCAACAGAGAAATTAAAATTCTCTAACAAAATGGTTGCTGAACAAATGGTTGTAAGTTGAGGATTGCCTATATGGACAAATCCTGCGGATTAAGGATATGTAGACTTACTGGTTAAGCCACCCTAAATGTGTGAGGGGGAAGCTCCATTTGATCCTCCCAACAATAAGGTATGGCTGCCATTATTACAACATCAAGGTTTCCCTTAATATTGCCTCAAATTCTGAAAAGGATTCGGATCCCTTTGAACCAGGTTAGATCTGGCTTTTCTAGAAACCATAGGATGCTAAGGGCATGGCAAGACTTTATGGGAAATCCAAGGTTCATGCGAAGCAGATTCAGACATATTCCCCATCCCCAGGCAAGGCTGCTTTCCTATGGTAGCAAGGCCCTCAGCCTAGCTGGGAAAATGAAGGAGATGCATGCAACACATTAGGAGGTCACCAAGTGAGGGGAAGCAGAGTTATGCCAAGGGACCTGCTCATTCACAGCTCCCATCAAAGCTTAATCTGGAAATTCAGGATTCCCAAGTGACAGGAGCCTGCTTCCAGATAAGGGAAATAACATAAACCAAGAGATGCAGAGTTGAGAGAAACTTCTAACCTATCTCTGAAAACTCCAGGCTTGCTTTCAGAGTTCAGCTCTGCCTCCGAGAACCCATTTTCCAGCCCAAAGTTGGAAGGGCTAAAAAGGGAGCTTCCAATTAGCCAGTGAAGCTCGCCAAGCAAGCCACCTACTTTGGGGAGAAGGGGAATGCCACGAGGGAGCGCGCAAAGACCACTAAAACTCCTCTTTGGAATCTTGGGCAACACCACATTACCATTTGCCACTACTACGGTATTCGTGCAATCGAGCTGTGGCAGAACCTTGAGTGAGAAGCCGGCATACCCTCTGAGCGTGTGCAGAATGTCCTTCAGAGCAACAACCATCATTCCGGCGACACGCTTCCATCAGCACTCGCTTCAGGCTGCCCCGTTATATGCCCCCATCGCACCCCCGCCCGGCTCCCATTCCTTCCTTACCTCAGCCCAGGCCTGAAGCGCCCCTTGGTGGAAGCCTGGTCCTCTTCCAGCCCGCGCCCACTCTCTTCCTGGGCGCGCTTGGCCCCTCTCTTCCTCCCGTCCAGCTCAGCGCCTTCCATTGCTGCCTCTCTCTCGCGGCTTCCTTCTCCTCCTCGTCACATGGAGCCACCTCCGATTCCCAGCCAATCCTCGCAGCCGCTCGACGTCTTTGCCGCGAAGGCAGCAGTAGCAGCTCCGGCTGTCCAGTTAACCAGATCGAGGGAGGGAAGTTAGGCGGCTGCTGTAATCCAGAACAAGGGTGCTTTTACAGTCAGCTACGAACGACCTTTTTCCTGGAAAGAGGAAGACGTGGGCCGCTCTTGGAGGAAAGGAAACCACGCCTTCCTATTAAAATTCCCTCCAGAATTAATTATAAGAGAGGCAATTGGGACAAAGGAAAGCGCACTCTGCCTATTCTCAGAGGCTCTCTCTCTTATCAGACTTGTGAAGTAATTTCAGGGGTTGAGTCTCGGCTGCCGAAAACTTGGGGGGGGGTGTTGGTCACATGGGGAACTCTCCTGAGCGTCAGGCCGATGGGTAGATGTACTTTCCTCTTAATTCTGCTCGACGGACTATCCTTCGGAAGCTTTGTACAATAATGTCCGAATAAAACGCTTCATCTCTGGGACAAGCAGGCAGGCAGGCGAGCCTGTCATAGCATCGCTCATAGCAGCAGGGTCGATAGCCATTTGCGTATGGTTCGAGGAATGTGGTTGTCGTACAGCACTTTAGCTATAGATATCAGATACAAGCATTTAATAAAGTACATAAACATTTAATAAATGAAATAGTGTATTGAAGTAACAAGGACCTCCGTACTTATATGTAATGGAAAGTGCCCGATTCCTGTGCCTTTGCACTGTTTGCTTAAGAAAAGTTCAACAGCTGGCTCCACAGCCTAAAAAAAAATTAAAAAAAAAATACAAATACCAGGCAGTCCTCTTTGACAAAAAGATCAAGGCAAGAATATTGGATTCCTCAATATGCTGTCCGTCCCACAGAAAAGAAAAATGGTTTTGTAAGTTACTGTGGAGAAATCACATGAATTTGGGGCAAGCTCTGGAACGCAATCTTCCTGAAGCCTTGCAGAGAAGAATTTTAATACAAGAGACAGCATAGTGCATGCTGGGTATTTTACTGATGCATAACATATCTCATATTTTCACTGTTTATTAAAATATTTGAAACAGCCACAGACTACTTCCATCAGAGGTGAATAACTTTTTGTCCTTCGGAAGGCCCACCTATGATTACTGCAAATTGGCAGCATTATTTCCTACTACTAAAATGAAAAACACAAGAAAATGTAATCCCTAAAAAAAAACCCTCCTTCCTGTCCTTCCCTAAAACTTGCCCTGCATATTGATGTAAGGTGGCACCAATCTCACTCACCCCCAAATGTGATAAGAGGCCTTTGGCCACCAAGAGGATAACTCTCAGCTTATGTAGAGGGCATTCCATTAAAACCCACTTGAGTATAGGAAAATGTGTAAAACTGGGGCTGAGACCACCAAATCGGATTGTAATAATGTTCTAAAGCCATGGTGGTGAACCTATGGCACGCATGCCACAGGTGGCACAGAGAGCCCTCTCTGTGGGCACGCACGCCGTTGCCCCAGTCCTAGGCCTTCAGCTGGGTTTTATAAAACCTTTTTGCATTAGGCCTCCGCCACCGTGTGCAAAAAAAAAAAAACAAGGTTCAATCAATCAGTCAATTTCAACTTCTCACAGGAAAAAAAAAGATCTCGCAAAGTTGGAATTGATTGATTGAACTTTTTAGTCCCACCCAGTCTGCCGATACCACCACAGCAAGGCCCACCCAATTGGCCACATCCGCCCAATTGGCCACATCTGCCCAATGGGCCATGCCCACCTGGCACCTGATGATACATAAGTGGGTTTTGGGTTGCAGTTTGTGCATTCGGTCTCTAAAAGGTTCTCCATCACTGTTCTAAAGTCTTAAATTGATACAAAATACTTTCATATGCAACACTAATCTTATCTTACTTTTAATTAATCTTACATCTCTTCCAAACATATGGTCTACTTTTTTGTTTATTTTTCATTACAGGTAGTCCTCAACTTATGACCTTAGTTGAGCCTGAAATTATTGTCATAAGTTATGCTGATCATTAAGTGGATGGCCGTGCCTGATTTTATGATCTTTTTTGTGGTGATTAAGTGAACATGATCACTAAGCGAGCCCTTTGTAACCAATGGGCTTCCCCCCCCCGAAACTAGAAGTAAATATGGTTTCCAGGCTGGAGAGGGGGAGGAAATGTCATAAATCGTGTTCATGTGACTGCAGGATGCTGCAAACTGCCCTAAATGCAGGCCAATTGCCAAATGCTCAAAATGCAATCACCTGGCTATCAGAACTTTGAAACTGGGTTGCTAGTAGCTCTGGGGAGGTTTGTCATAACTTCAAATGGTCACTAAATAACCAGCCATAAGTTAAGGACTAGCTGTAATTGTGTTTTAAAATATCTACTAAAACGAACAATCAGGGAGCTGGAGTACTGTACATAACAATCATATAAATCAGATTGAAACAATCAGAGCAAACAATCAGAGAAAAAAACGAGAGGCCCACTGGGCACATATTTTCCAACGTGTTCAATGGGCATCTGTAGGGAAATGCTTCCTGCAAGTACTGTATGTGTTGGATTTATTGGGGCTACAAAATCCCAGATTTTGAGGCAACATCTGAAGGGTGCTTGGTTGGAGAAGTGGAAGGGCTGCTATGGCCACTGGTATGCAGAAGCAATGTGTTGGGTGTGGAGGAGGGTTGCTCAGAAATCCTGTGACGCAGTTGTCATTCCACTGCTATTTCACTCTTAACAAGGTTATTTCAATTGTAATTTTAATAGCTTTGGGTATTGTTAATTTCACTCTCAGTTTACTCTGGGAACAATCTCTTGATCTGCATAACATCATTGCACTGCTTTTCCTCTGTGGATATGTATATTCAGACTTCACTTCTCTCTAGACGATTTACTTGGAGCTGGGAACTGTCATTTCACAAGCCTTCTCTCCTCTTATTCTGTTAATCTAGAAACTGGTATTCCACTTAGTGGACAGTAGTTTTTCTCGAGGCAATTCATCTCCATATTTTCCCCTTGCAATTTCCAGGCTATCTTATTCTACAAAGGCCCCCAAATTTGGATATGTGCATTACTCTTTCATCCAAACATGTTTATTCTCTTTCTGATTTAACCTTCTCCAGAGAATACCTTTGATGTTCATCTATGGTAGTATAACTGCATCTCCTGTCATAAAATATGGTTAGATACCATTTCAAGACAGCATTACATAAGCCATATCCTCCAAAATATGGTTCCTAAAGAGACTCCTGACCTTCTTCAACCTAGCATTCCAGAAAGCCACTATGTAAATCCATTTAAGTAGACTTGGAAGTTCCCCAGCTTGATCTCATGGAGAAGATTGGGGAAAAAGAGGATCTCTTTTTTTAAAAAAAAGAAAGAAAGAAAGGAAGGAAGGAAGGAAGGAAGGAAGGAAGGAAGGAAGGAAGGAAGGAAGGAGAGGATGAGCCACCTCATCTGTTATTTTCATTCCCTGTTCTTTTCAGAAGTAATTTTAATTTTCTATAATCCAGTTCAATACCGATTTATGCTAAGTAACAAAATGGGGAACATTATTTGCCTGTTGACTCTTTCCTAAAGATTTTGGAAGAGCCATTCCAGTATGATAAGAACCATTTTGGATCCTAGGAGACTTTCAATCACTCCCTCTAGGAATATTATCTGGCAGACACATGGTTTGAACACGTATCACAATATTCTTTTCCTTTCCCTGGATTTTAACCAATGATCCTCAGGTTTTTGAAACTGCCTTGCCTCATCAAAAAATTTTGGGGAAGCACAAAAACTTGCAACTATTTTGTTCAGCTGTGCTAATAAAACAAGTGGCTCCATATGGAATTTTTTTTCTCCTAATGGTCATTACAACAGCTATTGATTCTTTTAAGTGAAGTATCCTCCATATACCATGTACTTATCCTGTTCAGTAACTGAACTTTCCCTCTCCTTGTAGATGGATGCAGGAAGGCTAAATTTGTAGGGTCAACAGGTCAAGATATTACCCTTCCTCTTCCAGAAGCCTCTCTGAACTAGAAACTATGGTTCCATCTCCTTCTTTGTTGTGCTATTCTGTAGTTACATCATCTGCTGCCATCTATCTTCCAGAAAGATAACTTTATTGTATTCCCCACTAGCCCATTGTTGAGAGAGATAGGACTCTCCTCATATGTAGGGAATTAGACCAATCTCACAAGAGCTCAATAAAATCAAGCTTTATTTAAAAAGGAAAACAGCAAATGGAAAATTCCTTTTTAAACTGTGACAAGTAAGAGAGCAGCAAAAGAGATAATAAATATACAGATAGAGCTGTCCCAAACAAGCTTCCAAAAAGAACTTCCAGTGGAAAAAGTTATAGAATATAAGGCTTGGAGCAAATCTCTAATCATTGCAATGTGCCCCTCTAGCTCTGGCAGATCCTGTGTGTAAAAGGTCTCCTGGAAGCTTCAGAATCTAGACAGAAATGCAGTAGCTAAAATAGAGTCTTCTATAATTTAGGAACAGAGCACCTTCATGGTTGCCAGGGCCCTTCCTGGCTGCAGGAGAAAAAAAAAAAGCTTTGTGAATAGTTGCTTCTGAAGCTCATCATTGCACTGATATACTGTAGTTCCCACCCCTCAATCTCTTCTGCAGTAGATTGCAATGAGCTTTAAAAGGCAGAGGGTCTTCTGCCCTTATTATACTTTTATCCCTTCTCCCCTCTCCTTTCATTTCTCCCCCCCACCCCCATTTCTATCACTTACAACAAGGTGGGAGGCAGGAGCTTTGACTGTTGCCATTGCACCTGCTCACTTCATGAGTCCCAGAGAGTAAAGCTTCTTTAGCCCTTATTTAAGTGAATATGGGGGAGGCAGAGAGAGCTGACTGCTCTTTGTCCTTGCTTTAACTCAACCTGCTTTAGGGAACAAAAATGGAGTGTAGTTCCTTAGCCCATTGCTGAGCTCCATTCCACGGGTTGAAGTTGGCATGCATATTGCAGTTTTTTCCCATTAGGGCAGCGGTTCTCAACCTATGGGTCGCGACCCCATTTGGGG